TGACTTTTGTTTAGCATTGGGTGTATATTGACTCTTATGTACATCTAACCTCCAAAATAAATGAAACACTTGAGTAAATGAGGGATACAAAGTAGGCCTATATTGAAGGTAGGTGGTTCCACACAGGTGTTGTTCCTGAGTTAATTAAGCAATTAACATCCCATCATGATTAGGGTCATGTATAAAAATGCTGGGCAGGCCATTATTTTGGCTACTATGGCTATGCCCCAATAGGATGACAATGACCCCATCCACAGGGTTTGATGAGCATTGGAATGATGTAAACCATATGCCATGGCCGTCTGTCACCAGATCTCAACCCAGTTCAACACTTATGGGAGATTCTGGAGTGGCGCCTGAGACAGCGTTTTCCACCACCATCAACAAAACACCAAATTATGGAATTTCCCTTAGAAGAATGGTGTCGAATGCCTTCAATAGAGTTTGACACTTGTAGAATCTATGCCAAGGTGCATTGAAGCTGTTCCGGCTCTTGGTGGCCCAACGCCATATTAAGAGACTTTATGTTGGTGTTTACTTTATCTTGGCAGTTACCTGTGTATATAGCCTAGTGTTCTTTGTTTTACATAAGGGTAAATCCATTTGAATTCAATCACTTTTTGACTGCTTCCCTTTTAATTAAAACAAAACTTTTCATATGGAAGAAGTGGTCATAGAATGACTTTTAAAACATTCAGAAGATAAAGGTGCTCAAAGTTGACCAGTTTTGCATACCCCACCATACCATGAGACATGTCTTCATCACTGGAAAATAAAAACTGTTGAGTTTGATATAATTGAAAAGCTTACAGCGACGTCAAACAATTTTATTATTTCACCCAAAAAACTAAAGAAATCCAATTTTAAACCTTTTAAGCTCAGATTTGTTTCAACTTCGCAAATGTCACATATTTTGTAGCTTAGACCCTATTTCATATCATCTGATGTTTTTGTGTTGTGCCTGCCATCGGTTGAGACGAAACATGCTCTTGAATACAGGGGTGGGTGTAAATTCAATCATAGAAATAGAATGGACCTATCCCTTCAGACCACTGCAATTTAGCTTCTTTTTTTTACTACCACAAAGATGCCCTTCATTCCACCCAACGTCGAATGTCAACTGAAATGGTCATGTCTATTCTATGATCTATATTTCTATGATTTCAATAGGTTTCCTATGGAGGATTAACAGTATAATTTAAATGAACAGATATTCCCATTCAGGTCAGCATTCTCTGATGTGTGGACATCTAACCATCTTTGTGTTACAATCTGAAAGTAGAAATTTCTATTTTATTCCCATTTTAGTACATTTATCAGCCAAATCATAACACCCACCCAGTATTCAAGAGCATGTTGTGTCTCAACCTTTGATGATGCAAAATAGGGTCTCAGCTACAACATATGCGAATATGTAAAAAACAAATAATTGTTCACCATTTTTAGATAATTGATTTTTTTTTTACTTTTTCCAGAAATTATCAAATAGGTTGACAACCCTGTTTTGTAAGCTTTTAAATATCAATCTCAACTCTTTTATATTTTCCAGTGATTAAGACATGGATGTCTCATGGTATGGTGGGGTATGCAAAATGGGTTAACTTTGATCACCTTTATGTTAATGTTTTGGCATTCAGGTCGAACAAGTCACTTTCTGAGCACTTCTACAATGGGCAAATATTTATGGAACGTTTCGTTCAAATCAAAACGGGTGGTGTCAAAAAGTGATTGAATTCAAATAGATTTACCAAGAAATGTTTGCTTTGTTTATGCAGTCTGAGGTGTGAATTGTTGTTATTGGGCCTGACATGATGTTTGACGTTGAGTGTTTGTTATATATATATATATACCAGTCTGTTTTGTGTTGGGTGTGAAGAATTCAGTTTGTTGTATTTGGCCTGCCCCTTCATGTGATGTTTACCACCGTTGAGAGCATTTGTTGATGTTGATGCAGTAGCCTGTTTTGATGGGTGAACACCAAACAGTGTTTACTCCTGCCATAGTGCTGACTGTACAGCTCTGGGAGCCTCTGTTCTAGACCAGAGAGAAAAGCACAACTCAGCATGACTGATGATAGTGGGCACAGCTCAATGGCTGCCTCCCTACTGCCACCCTATTGCCTATATAGTGCACTACTTTAGCACTTTAGGGAATATGGTGCCATTTGGGACACAACCAATAGCCCTGGAAGTGTTATTAGGCAGTCTGGTACCATGCTGACTGGAGCTACAAAGAATGGGAGGTGCAGCTATTGCCAATTTCCAAAGCCCCTACTTAGCCTGGTTTGCTCGCCGCCTCACACCCTGGCCTGAATACCGCCTCACACCCTGGCCTGAATACCGCCTCACACCCTGGCCTGAATACCGCCTCACACCCTGGCCTGAATACCGCCTCACACCCTGGCCTGAATACCGCCTCACACCCTGGCCTGAATACCGCCCTCACACCCTGGCCTGAATACCGCCTCACACCCTGGCCTGAATACCGCCTCACACCCTGGCCTGAATACCTCACACCCTGGCCTGAATACCGCCTCACACCCTGGCCTGAATACCGCCTCACACCCTGGCCTGAATACCGCCTCACACCCTGGCCTGAATACCGCCTCACACCCTGGCCTGAATACCGCCTCACACCCTGGCCTGAATACCGCCTCACACCCTGGCCTGAATACCGCCTCACACCCTGGCCTGAATACCGGTCCCTTTTTAGCAGGGTAACCTCTAACCCTTATTACAGTTCTACGACAAGGCCCTAGTGTAGGCTAGAGCAGTGTTTCTCAACCTCCAGTCTGTGGCCCCAAAAAGGAAAAGCCATAGCATGCGAGTCCCTGGTATGAAAAAGATTGCAAAAGGACCTGAGCTGAACCCAAAGCCCTTTCTAGAGGACAGGGACATCTTGCTCCATTATAACTGAAGATGGAGCTGTGAACCCTGCCAACCTAGAGTAAAACAATTATTGTTCTTTCTCTCTTGCTGTCTTACTTAGTTTTTGGTGAGTGCTTTTACATGTATGTTTCCAGTGTGAGCCATCTTGACTAAGTGGTGGCCTCATAGTGCCCCAACGCAACTTTGCTCCTTTCTCTCTCTCTCTCCTTCCTCTTTTCTCTCAGTCTCTCTCTCTCGAGACTGCAGACTCCAACTGGGTCAGGAAAAAAATCTGCCCATTCAGCACAAAATGAAAGAAATAATGGTGTCTAGACCAGTCAGGAAGAAGTAGACAAAATGAGGGACTGTAGGTCAACAGGGTCCTTTATTACAACACATGTCACAGACTTGGCCTAGAATTAGCAAAGATGCTGACATAATGTACAAGTCCCTTGACTGTTCTGAGCGCAGTGTCACTTAGGTGGGCTGGAGCATCACCTTGTCTCCCACACCTGTCCAAACTGATCAGGGCACTGTCGATACATGTCCTCTCTTTTCCCCTGGCTGGTTACATAACCCTGCAAATCAGGTCCAGGATCAGTAATAAAAAATGATGAAACCAATGCTGGCCCATTGTATGCCAAGGACCTTATGCTGTGTAACAGCTGCCTTCAGCAGCACAATACATCTAGGGCAATGTCTGAAATGATACCCTATTCCCTACATAGTGCACTACTTTTGACCAGGGCCCATAGGGTGCCATTTTGGTTGCAACCTAGGTGGTGTTATGTGGTTTATGAGCAGAATTCTACTGATATATTGTGCCTGGGGTGCCCTTACTAGACCTATTATTGCTAGGCCTATTATTGCTAGGCCTATTATTGCTAGGCCTATTATTGCTAGGCCTATTATTGCTAGGCCTATTATTTTGTATCCAAGATAATGAAACTGAGACAATTGGATACGAGTCAACGATAGAACGATAGTGAGGAGATGTGCGGGTCATGGAGTTGAATAGACCTGAATGGTGTTTTGTCTCTCGCTGTCGATCTGTGTACCTATCTTTTCTACCCTAACCTCTCTTGCCTACCTTTATCACTTTCTTTCTCTCTTGCTCTCCTGCTGACAATATTGATTTTGGGAACTAGGCTATTTCATTAAATGTCATTGTTTGATATGCAATGGCTAGACTGTCTTGTCTGATGCATCTGTCTCTCAATTCAATCAACTTTATTAACATGAAATGTAAAGGGGCTTGCATTGCCAAAACGAATTAGTCCCACAATAATAACACTTTCTTTCTCTTTCCATCTCTCTCTCTCTCAGGCCTACGAGAGGCGATTCCCCACGTGTCACCTGATTCCCATGTTTGTGGACAGCGAGGTCTTGGAGGAAGCTAAGAGCGAGGACGGCTCCTTACACCAGGTCCAGCGCCGCTGCAAACTGGACGTGGACGCCCCTCGCCTCCTCAAGCGGGTACGCCTGACGTCACTAACCTGTTGCTATCTTCTCTCTTGAGTCTTGTCAGTCAGTCAATCAATCAATCAATCAATCAATCAATCAATCAAATGTATTTATAAAGCATTGTCAGTCAAGGTGAGTCTTGTACTGTAAGTCAATCAATCAATCCAATGTATTTCTAAAGCCCTTTGTACATCAGGGATTGTCACAAAGTGCTTTACAGTAACCCAACCTAGACCCCAAAGGATAAGCAAAAGCAGAAGCCTTATGAATGTTTGAGTATTGTTTACTGCCCAGTGTTTCCAGATTTCAATGAAATATGACCTATAATTACTTAAAATATGAGTGAAATAGTTTTCCTTCCCAAATAATTTTTTTTATTAAGTATGTTAAAAAGTAGCGTTTCTGTGTTGTAATGGTGTGGGCTTACCCCAACCACAGACCGCTGATTGGCCAGCTCATCCTCCTCAGGGAGATGACATCATGTTCTATGAGGAAATGGCAAGCATTTTGTTATCAGTGTATCTGATTTCCTTTTTGACCATTAGTTTTGCTGCAACTGATTTCATGAGTTTCCTTTGTGTGCAGATTGCGGGGGTGGACTATGTGTATTTCAGCCAGGAGAACACACTGAACAAGAGAGAAAGGACGCTCCACATCGAGTCCCACAACGAGACCTTCTCCAACCGAGTCATCATCCACGAACTCTGCAGCTACTCGGTGTGTTACACACACAGTCACACACACACACATTAAAATGCAGCTTTGGTTAGAATGGTTACGTAAGCTACCTGTCCATTCGCTAACACACATTCAAGCCTTCGTTTTATTTAGTCAACCGCATGCACATACACGCGCACACACACACACACACTCAATCACACACTCACAAAGCCCTGTTAAACCACTTTGAAGCAAACCCCCCCCCCCCTCCATGCATTCACAATTTATCTTCAAATGGAAGGATCAAGCTGTTCCATCCAGCTCCTCATATGTAGCTACACACACTAAACCTAAGTCTTGGTTTTATATCACCTTATCTCACATGGCACACACACACACACACACACACACTCAAAGCCCTGGAAAAGCAAGTTGTCGACAGTACACTTATCTTTGACCCCTTCCCTCCTTGCACTCTCTATGGTCTCTCCAAATAGACAGAGAAAGCTGTGTTCCAACCAGCCTCTCATATGCTGCTTCCTTCCCACTGAATAATTCAGACCTCCCATTGCTCCCTGCATCACTCCGCCTCAAGACACTCACACACTGTTCTGGAGTCAGTTCTTTCACACCTCCCAGGCCTACTGCAGTGTGTTACTGCACTCCCTACTCTGACCTCAGTGCTACTCTCAGCAGGCTCCCATGGTGAATGAATGCGCTGTGAGTTAATGAGGTCAAGCACATTGCATTAGCGTCTAACGAGGCTAGCGTGGCTATTTTAAATCCGTTACGCAGCTATCCTTATGAAGAACAGTTAGAGTTAGCTAGCGGATGCTAACAAGGCTAGGCAGCTCAATTAGACTGAGCTAATAGGCTAGAGTTGGCTAAAGCTGACATATTTTGGTAGCCAAAGAAAACAGGTATCCAATTCCGGAAATAGCCATCGGAGCTAGCCAAAGAGCTACATAGTAAAATAAGCTCTTTCATAAGTTGTATGTCACGGAGGGATTACTGTATGACTTGCCTTGGTTTGCCAGGCAGGGTCTATGACATTCAACACTCTCACTCCCGACCTATCTAACGCACTCTACTCACTGACATCCAACAAAATCTATTTTTATACAATCTCGGGCTGTGTGTGAATGTGCTGTCTGCTTGATACCATATCAATATTTGTTGGCATATAACGACACAACCTGTCAGTATTGGTAAAATGCCAGTGGATAGTGTGTCATCGGTACGCACTCCCACACATAGCTGAGGATGTGTAGCTTGCAGTGTGCGTCAGCGCTCGGCACAGAGTCACATTGCCGTGTGTGGTTGCCACGGTAACACGTGTATCTTCTCTTTCGTGTGTGTGCAGGCCCACCCTGAGAATGACGACTGGACGTGTTTCGAGCAGTCGGCCAGCCTGGACATCAAGTCCTTCTTCGGCTTCGAGAGCACGGTGGAGAAGATAGCCATGAAGCAGTACGCCAGCAGTATCAAGAAGGTGTGTATGAGCCAGATCATTAGACAGTAACAGTAAGAAAACAGACTCAAAGGTGGCGGGACTACCTGAACCTTGTCCAATAAGAAATGCTGGCTTTCGTTTTCCATTGGTACGTTGCGCCCTAATGAATACAACCCAGATGTATCACATTTAGAGAATTCACCAGACGCCAAACATTTCCCTCGTGCAAAAAGAATGAATCCAACTAGGCTCCATTTCAAGTGAATTGAAATTCCAATTCAACATTCGAAAATAACCTAATTGTATTGGGAATTTAATGCATCTCCTGCATTGAGTTAATTGAAATGGAACCGACCCCAACCACGGAATGCAGTGTTGATACAGCAGACATACCATTGGGCCGTCTAGTGCTAAGTGGCTCTTCTTATGTAATGTAAGCCAATTTGCCGAGCTAGTGTAAACAAAGGTAAGCTTGTGTAAATTCCTAGTCCCTATTGAGCCCCCTTCCCTATTAATAACTCTAACTCTCTCTCTCTTTCTTATTTTTCTCACTCTCTCTCCTCCCCCGTACTCCCAACACCCCCCTCTCTCCATCTCTCTTGCTCTCTCTCGCTCCTTCCTCCCCCTCCCCCTCCCCCTCTTTAGGGTAAGGAGATCATAGAGTTCTACCTAAACCAGCTAGAGGAAGAGGGGATAACCCACGTGCCCCGCTGGACTCCCTCCTCCTCCGTCACCACCAAACCCATCTGTGCCACCCCAAAGGTCCTCCACCTGGAGCTCCCTGTCACTCCCGCTGTCTCAATCCCTGTGTCTACTGATGCCAATCACCATGAGATTGCCAATGCCAGCAATAATGATGCCACCCAAAGTGATGCCACCAGCAACGATGCCAATAGCCAGCCTGACAACCAGACAGAGAACCAGACGGGCACACCTGATGGTTAGTACTAATTAATGATTGAGACACTGTTCAAAAGTTTCAATACATTAGTACAATGGGAAACACTCTTTTTAAGTGGTGTTTAGCTGTGTGAGTGATTTGAATGAGATTGAATTGAGAGTTCTCTAAATGGTGTGTGTGTGTGTGTTGTAGACAAGTTGGATGCAGACTACATCAAGCGCTACTTGGGAGACCTGACGCCTCTGCAGGAGAGCTGTCTGATCCGACTACGCCAATGGCTGCAAGAGAGCCACAAGGGCAAGGTGAGACACACACCCTTACAGCTTTCAATACACACATACTAAAGCATATTCTATCTTTTAAAATCATACTCAGCTACTTGAGACACAAACATAGAGGCATGTGTGACATGCTCGCACACGCACGCTCTTACCCTGCCCCCTTCTGAACACCACCCCCCACCTCCCCCCCTTGGAGACCCTTGCCCTCACTCCCTCCTCTCCCTCCTCGCCACCTTTCCAGATCCCTAAGGACGAGCACATCCTTCGTTTCCTGCGGGCCAGGGACTTTAACATGGAGAAGGCCAGGGAGATCCTGTGTCAGTCCTTAACATGGAGGAAACAGCACCAGGTGGACTATCTGTTAGAGACGTGGACGTCACCACAGGTCCTCAACGACTACTACACTGGAGGGTGGCACCACCATGATAAAGGTATGGAGGATGGACACAGAGAGAGAGAGATGCTAAGGCATGCGCACGCATACACACACAATTAGTCGCTAATAATTGTCATGGAGTCTTGATTTGATGTAGAGGGGTAGTCATATGATGTTCACAAAATACAGTGGTCACTCAGAATTAGACACACATGGCACAAACCCTTCTGCACTCGCATTATTTACGCATGGTAAAAAAAAACTGTTGTGTGTGTGTGTCTTGTTTCTTTAAGTTGTTAACAGAAGTAACTTCCCAAAACGCCACTTTCTATTTAAGTAACAGAAAAATAAGTCCCTGTCTAAGCCACAACTTCCTGTCACACACCATATTTGTCCAATGAAGGAATATAACTTAGAATTGACTGCATTGCAGTTCACCAGTCCCAATTTCAAATACATTGTTGTTACTTCATACTTGCCCTGGGTATTTGCATGCTCTGGTTTATTGTTGTCTTAACGGCAGTCCCAAGGCGTTGCCCTCATCACACAATTAACTGTATTAAGGATGTTAACCGTTAATCTGTTAGCTGCCGAAAATACATTTGACAGGTCATGCTTATCGGTCTATAGGTTAATTTGCATAAGAGCGTAGTTTGAGGAGCGGAATATCCAATCACCAGTCAGACAGCGCGAGAGCAGCTCCTCAAAAAGCTGATACTGGAGTCTAACGTGCTTTTCGAAGCCCAGTCATTGCACAACAAATAGCAATTCTAAATGCAATCGTGTGTTAAACTGTTTTGATGGCCACGATTAGAAAAAGAGCTACTGTTTTTATTTCTCAATCTCAACTCGTAATTAAAGCGCGCCTCCCATTCGCCATTCGAGTGCATAGGCTAAAGTCAATGGTAGGCAGGCTATCACCGCGACACCCACCACTTTACAATGTGAGCTTGAGGCAGTATAATTGTTTGAAACCAGAACGTTTTACTTTACTTCAAATAATGAGGCATGTCTTACCTTGCTTCAAAGTAGCCTTACCAAAATTCATCCTTCCTCATACCATTTAACCAGAATTATTTTATAAAGACTTCCTCATACCATTTAACCAGAATTATTTTATAAAGACTTCCTCATACCATTTAACCAGAATTATTTTATAAAGACTTCCTCATACCATTTAACCAGAATTATTTTATAAATACTTCCTCATACCATTTAACCAGCATTTCTCACCTGTTCTATTGGTTTTCATATCAACCTTCTTTCGTTGTCCAGAAGCCAAAGTCACAATCCTTGTCATATTAGCAACCCATCCTAGTTGTTGCTAATAGATTCCCCCTTTCCAGGTTTCTAGCTGAGATTTTAATCTCTGTTATATATGGAGCCACTTGCATGAGGTGCGCTGTTTAGAACGGTGTTTTCCCACAAATTGCATTTTGGCAAATGTTTGAAAATGACATTTTATTAGCTGCTTCATTACAGGAGTTGCATGTTCAATAATAGGCTATAGCCTTTTGACTGTAAGACGATAGGCTTGCTATTGTTGCATGTGTCTCGTAATGAAAAATATCCATTCCTTGTATGCATGCATAAAAACTGTAACTGTTTGTTGACTGGTTAATGAGGGTTGGTTAGTCGACAGCAAAATTGACCGAAATGTGCATCCTTAGACTATTCAAATATACTGATGTCTGTGTGTCCTTCCAGAGGGTCGTCCTCTCTATATCCTGCGTCTGGGACAGATGGACACCAAGGGGCTGGTCCGAGCCCTGGGGGAGGAGTCTCTACTCAGACACGTGAGTGGGCCTCTTCTGCTGTCAATCACACGTGGTAACTAAAGTGTGTGTGTGTGTGTGTGTGTGTGTAAGCATAACCACATTAAGTGTGTGTGTGTGTTTTAAACCTTCAGGTTCTATCCATAAACGAGGAGGGCCTCAGGCGCTGTGAGGAGAACACCAAAGTCTTCGGCCGACCAATCAGGTACACACCCGTTGCTATTTGGTAGTAGCTCCACCACTCCCTCTGATAGGTCAAGTAGAGTTTAAGCCATATTGCATACACCTGTCCAAGCCTCTCAGATCTACAGGACACAAGTTCCGTGGGAGAAGGGGACTAAACAGTATTGAGTCCTATGGGAGCTCTGTAGCTGTTGCTAAGCTAACGTGTATCATGGGAATTGCCTTGGTGCAGTGGGGTTATTAACGCAGAGAGTGCCGAGTGTGGGGGATGCTCTTTAAAGTTAAAGCTATCTCTAGGCAAGATGGAAAGAATGTGGAGGGTTCCTCTCTGAAAGGTGTGGGTGTGAGAGAGAGGGAAATGGAGCGAGTGAGAGGAGAAACTGAAAAAACAGAGAGAAGGTGAGAATGGCGCCGTTATCTGGCAGCTGTCAGGCTTATCAGATGGACGTGACTGTGGAGCGAAGCCATGCAGGAATGTATCTGAAGTGTGCTAGGGTGGAAAGCCACGGAGCTTCGCTCACATAAGACGGAGGGAGCGAGATAGCCCCTGAGTGGGAGGAATCTGTCTCTGTTTTTTGAAGTCATAGGATCGTATTTGGAAATGTAATGTGTATTGTCCTTACAATCTGTGTATAGTATTTAAATTCTCGCCCTCCTACCTCCTCTCTCTCTCTTTCGCTCTTCCCTCTAGTTGTTGGACGTGTCTGGTGGACCTCGAAGGGTTAAACATGCGCCACCTGTGGCGACCGGGGGTTAAGGCCCTTCTGAGGATCATTGAGGTGGTGGAGGCCAACTACCCAGAGACCCTGGGACGTCTGCTCATACTGAGGGCTCCTAGAGTCTTCCCTGTGCTCTGGACCCTGGTGAGACACTATGAAACACTAGGGCTGGAGACTCCTAAATGGCACCCTATTCCCTATGTAGTGCTCATAGGGCAATTTGGCATGAGGTATTTAGGTGGGAGCAGTAGGGTGACGACTCCTCCCCCCTTCTCTGTGTTCAGGTGAGCCCATTCATCGATGAGAACACCCGTAAGAAGTTCCTGATCTACGCCGGTAATGACTACCAGGGCCCTGGCGGCCTGCTGGACTACATAGACAAGGAGGTCATCCCAGACTTCCTGGGAGGAGAGTGTATGGTGAGTCACTGTGTGTGTGGTGTCATCACCCAGCATAGTCACATTGTCGTATGGTTGCCATGATAATGTTTATGTCCCTTTTTCGTGTCTGTGCGTGCATATAAAGCAGAATTTCCATTTAGGATCATAGCAAACATATACTTTCTATGACGTTTTTGTTCTCATATGGACTAATGTGTGTGTGTCTGTGTGCAGTGTGAAGTCCCAGAGGGAGGCCTGGTGCCCAAGTCTCTGTACCGTACTGCAGAGGAGCTGGAGAACGAAGACATCAGCCTGTGGACAGAGACTATCTACCAGAGTGCCAGCGTCTTTAAGGGAGCACCCCACGAGGTGAGCCCCAACACACTGCACATCGGCTGGGGGAGAGCAGAGAGGACTCGAGGAGAGAGGGGCGACTGGGGCCTTAGCTGGAGCTTTCAAGTCATTTGTGGGAGGAGGAGAAATAAGAGAGAGAGAGAAGGGCAGATAGGAGAGAGGAGAGAAAGAGAGAGATGGGGAAAGAGATATGGGAAGAATGAGAGAAAGATGTGGATAGAAAGACGGAGGAAAAAAACAAGCCAAACGTTGGTCTGCTGAAGTTACTTGACCAACACTGCCACCCACTGGAGGAATCCTGAAAGTGCATTCAAACTGATCTTCAGACATTTAGCCACTGTTCTGTCACAAATTGAACATGAACTTTGCTTTGAGAGGAATCTGCACCCATTTTGTTATTTTGTTTCTGTTATATAAAAGTAGAGGTGATATAATCTGTTAAAAAAGGAGCCATGCCATGTGGATACTATTCGGTAGAAATCTGCAGTCTGACCTCCGTCTGTCATCTGTTCTTTTTGCTCTCTTTAATTATTTCTCAATCTCTCTCTTATTTCTACTCTTCTCATCTCTTTTCTCATCCCTCCCTCTCTTTCTCCTTTTCTCTCCCCTCCCTTCTTCAACCCTCCTCTTTTCCTCTCCCTGCTTTCCCTCTCAGGTGGGGATCGAGATCATCGACGCCTCCTCTGTGATCACCTGGGACTTTGACGTGTGTAAGGGCGACGTGGTCTTCCACATCTACCACTCCAAGCGCGCCCCCCAACCCCCCCGCAAGGACCCCCTAGTGGGGCAACACAGCAGCATCACCACCCCCGGGGGGAACAACGTCCAGCTCATAGACAAGTCCTGGACCTTAGGCCGGGACTACAGCATGGTGGAGTCACCACTCACCTGCAAGGAGGGGGAAAGCGTGCAGGTCAGTATTGGAGCAGACTAGTTATTCATAGTGTTGAGAAAGATATGAGGCATGCAGGTGGCACTTTGTCAGTGCCTAAGAACATCTCTTGACTCAATTAACGAAATTAAGATTGACTCATTAAAATATACAGGTTTGCATATTACACCAATGTTGAAACCAGTTGTTTAGTGTTAAGTGTGATTTAAATGACATTCAATACTTAATGAATCTAATGTTAAGAACATCCAGATTGACAATGATTAAAACCTCTCATCTAATGCATCTCTCTTTCCCCCATCTCTCCCTCTCTCCTCCCCCTCTCGCCGTCCCTCTCCCAGGGCTCCCACGTGACCAGATGGCCCGGGTTCTACATCCTCCAGTGGAGGTTCCACACCATGCCGGGCAGCGCTTCCACCAACCTGCCCCGCGTGGACGACGTCCTCGCCTCCCTGCAGGTCTCCTCACACAAGTGCAAAGTAATGTACTACACAGAGGTCATTGGCTCCGAGGACTTCAGGTTAGTAGCTGTGTGTGCTTGTGTCTGTGAGAAAGCTCATATCAAATACAGTGAGGAGAACAAGTATTTGATACACTGCCGATTTTGCAGGTTTTCCTACTTACAAAGCATGTAGAGGTCTGTAATTTTTATCATAGGTACACTTCAACTGTGAGAGACGGAATCTAAAACAAAAATCCTGAAAATCACATTGTATGATTTTTAAGTAATTAATTTGCATTTTATTGCATGACATAAGTATTTGATCACCTACCAACCAGTAAGAATTCCGGCTCTCACAGACCTGTTAGTTTTTCTTTAAGAAGCCCTCCTGTTCTCCACATATTACCTGTATTAACTGCACCTGTTTGAACTCGTTACCTGTATAAAAGACACCTGTCCACACACTCAATCAAACAGACTCCAACCTCTCCACATTGGCCAAGACCAGAGCGCTGTGTAAGGACATCAGGGTTAAAATTGTAGACCTGCACAAGGCTGGGATGGGCTACAGGACAATAGGCAAGCAGCTTGGTGAGAAGGCAACAACTGTTGGCGCAATTATTAGAAAATGGAAGAAGTTCAAGATGACGGTCAATCACCCTCGGTCTGGGGCTCCATGCAAGATCTCACCTCGTGGGGCATCAATGATCATGAGGAAGGTGAGGGATCAGCCCAGAACTACACGGCAGGACCTGGTCAATGAGCTGAAGAGAGCTGGGACCACAGTCTCAAAGAAAACCATTAGTAACACACTACGCCGTCATGGATTAAAATCCTGCAGCGCACGCAAGGTCCCCCTGCTCAAGCCAGCGCATGTCCAGGCCCGTCTGAAGTTTGCCAATGACCATCTGGATGATCCAGAGGAGGAATGGGAGAAGGTCATGTGGTCTGATGAGACAAAAATAGAGGTTTTTGGTCAAACTCCACTCGCCGTGTTTGGAGGAAGAAGAAGGATGAGTACAACCCAAGAACACCATCCCAACCGTGAAGCATGGAGGTGGAAAAATCATTCTTTGGGGATGCTTTTCTGCAAAGGGGACAGGACGACTGCACCGTATTGAGGGGAGGATGGAAGGGGCCATGTATCGCGAGATCTTGGCCAACAACCTCCTTCCCTCAGTAAGAGCATTGAAGATGGGTCGTGGCTGGGTCTTCCAGCATGACAACGACCCGAAACACACAGCCAGGGCAACTAAGGAGTGGTTCCGTAAGAAGCATCTCAAGGTCCAGGAGTGGCCTAGCCAGTCTCCAGACCTGAACCCAATAGAAAATCTTTGGAGGGAGCTGAAAGTCCGTATTGCCCAGTGACAGCCCCGAAACCTGAAGGATCTGGAGAAGGTCTGTATGGAGGAGTGGGCCAAAATCCCTGCTGCAGTGTGTGCAAACCTGGTCAAGACCTACAGGAAACATATGATCTATGTAATTGCAAACAAAGGTTTCTGTACCAAATATTAAGTTCTGCTTTTCTGATGTATCAAATACTTATGTCATGCAATAAAATGCAAATTAATTACTTAAAAATCATACAATGTGATTTTCTGGATTTTTGTTTTAGATTCCGTCTCTCACAGTTGAAGTGTACCTATGATAAAAATTACAGACCTCTACATGCCTTGTAAGTTGGAAAACCTGCAAAATCGGCAGTGTATCAAATACTTGTTCTCCCCACTGTAGGTCATAGTAAATGTAATTTTTTTAATCATACTGTATTTTGTGTTATGATTGTATTGTATCATCACGTTTGTTCTATTTGATATGTTTAGTATACAATATTGACATTAACATTAATGTCCATTGTAGCCATTATGAAGTGCCAAGTGTAGGCTTCCCCTCCTAAAGAGATAGACAGCCTTTTTACCCTCCACTCTTTCTCTTCAATGTGCTCCTGTCCTCCTATCGCTCATCAACCCCTCTTCCACTCCTTCTTCTCTCTTCCTGTGAAGAGCGGCTTGCTTTGATGTTCAAAGTTTGTAAGTGGACTTGTGTTCCCTTAGCTTTGCATTGTGTTTGGTTGCTTATGAGAACTCCCGTTTAACAGTTGGCGACAGCTCTGTAAGATGCTAGCATCCTGACCCTTCGCTTATGGCTTTATTTGACCTCACCAGCAATGCTTTCTCTTTGTGCTTCAGTTAGAGAAAAGGCACTCACACTCACTCACTAAGCTAGCTAGTCTCACCCTTGCTTGCATGAATGACTAACAGACATATGCCTTTTAGTTTGAGTTGCCTTCCTCCTTTGCCACAAAGGGCTACCTGTATTTCAGGGTTCCCCAATTGCCGGCTCGCAGGTGGTTTTATTTGGCCCCCAAAGTTTTTTGGCCCCGCATGTTTTTTTGTGTGCATTTTCATTGTTGGACATAAAAGAACTGTAAAAACACCAGGAAATCAGCTCCAAGTGATTTTTAATTTAGGAAATCTGCTCCAAAGTATTCCCACGCATAATAGAGGCATGTGAAGTACATTTAAAATTATTATGTTTTAATCCAAGTATGATATCTTTTTTGGGCTTCATGCAAATTATTTGTAATGATCTTCCGGCCCCCCAACCATCCGCTCAAGACAAAATCAGCCCACAGCTGAATGTAGTTGATGATCCCTGCTGTGTTTTTCTGCCTCTGCAAATTGGTTGATAAGGATAAGTCTTTCATTCATGCCCCTCAAAACTCTCACTGAAGCATGAGAGGCCATGTTTTAGTCACTGTGGGTTAGAAGAACAACCTATTTAGGGCAGTATGCTAAATTTATGTCACAGAGTGGATTCACCTCCCTTTGGTTTGACTTGCTGCATGATCTACACTATTTGGCACTAGACTTGACAAAGCAGGAGCTGGGCATCATTAATACCAGACCGTGGATCAAATACTATTTGAAATAATTTCCTATTTGACAATAAAACATTTTATTTGTTTATACTTAAGCTGTGCTTGATTGAGCTTTCCTGTTTCAATATAACCAATAAAAGAGTCCCACAAGCACAAACCCCTCCCACCTGTCACTCCTAATGCAAACGCTCAAAGTAATTGAAAGATTTCAAATAGTATTTGCACCCTGATTTAAGACCATTTAGTATGTAGTTCTAAAACCTTAGTTAGGCCAACAATACGTTTTTACAAAATTTAAAATCATACCTTATTTCTCTCTCTCAGGGGCTCTATGACCAGTTTGGAGTCGAGTCACAGTGGTTTCTCCCAGCTCAGCCACGCCACCTCCTCCTCTAACCACTCCCAGTCCAGCTCCATGATCTCCAGGTAGAGGACTACAACTCCTGCCAAGGACTACAATTCTCCCTCTGCTGGATTAAAAGTCCCAGCTCCTCCAGCCTTCAGTCCACACTTTCCACCCTAACCACCTGAAACCTGTACTACTATTAGTCAGTCACAATGTGGAACTGAAGCATGCTTGCACAACAGAGGATAAAGAAGATGTCGGCGGTTGAAAAACTGAAAACAAAGACTTGTGATTTAAAGGGCTCCGTTTTTCTTGCAGAAGGCCATGTATATTTCTTCCCAGCTTTCTGCTGGGCTGCTGAACAGAACGTTGGCAGAATGTTTTTGGCTTGCTGAGACTTTGGTAGGTGTTGGAAGTGTCACACCCATGGAGCGCAATGCCGGATCAAGCAATTGTCACACTCATTTAAGGAGTTGTGGGACCGGATAAAAAATGGATGCGCCGTTACATATATGCATTAGAAGACTTTACACCCACGCACATTTCCAAGGTGTTGGTGATACTGGATGTGCTGTTGCCTGCAGACAAACATGCTCAAACATAGGAACACACACAAACATACTGTATACACACAAACCATAAACACACCTGCAATGACATACAAAAATACACAATATTTGCCATATCACCAGTGGGATTTGTCTCTACCTGGTGAATTGTTTATAGGTCATGATTGGGGTAAAGCCGTATCGTTTAGAAGCAATAAGCAGAGTTTGAATTTCTACTATTGACATAATTACATTTCTATTTATGAAAATGTGTGTATGGAGGTTTGTCCTCATGTGTGCTATGTGCAATGTATAGGTGACCTTCCAGTTACCGGGTGTGGCTAGACAGACAGACAGACAGACAGACGGACACATTTAATTTAGCTAAACTTTCATTTGGAGAAATTGCCTAAATAAATTGCCAGAGGTTATTTTTTACATTTGAATTCACAAATGGAATTTGAATTGACACATTTTGAATGTGTTTGCAAATTCATGTGCACATCTACTAGTCTCTTTTTGGCACAAGACACTTAACCAGTGATGACTTTTAAATTCTTGAATTTCAATTACTCTGACTTGAATTTGAATGGATTCCACCCCAAACTGAGTGTTTCCTGTCTGTCCCTGTCTGCAGGAATGAACTTGACACGTAGGTAGCTGTGGTTGTTATTGAGATGCCTTGTCATTGAGTGGTCATTGATTGAATGTGCTACTGATGGTCAGTCAGGTGAGATTTTGCTAGCCAATGGAATTCCCCGAACTGTCAGGGTCAGAGGTTGAATAGGTTAAACTGCTATTCTTTTTAGAGGTGTAGATATAGAGAGGGAGGAAGTGAATGTTTTTTTGTGGTGAAGCTTATCATTTGCTACTGCGCCATTTGTAGAAATGTATTGATGCGTACATGTACTTGGGCTAGTGCTGGTTGGATTTTGTTACAGTTTTCTGTGAGAGTGAAGTGTGTTGCTGCATGCTCATATGGTTGATTGATGATTTTAGTTTAGGAGTTACCATAGTAACAGATACTACTCATGAGCCATTTGTTAGGACCATTTTAGCCTTTGTAACTAACCATGTATATAAGAAATATATCTGCTTTAGGGGACACCCCCTTCGCCTCGCCTGAGCGACGTGGACAAAATTGTCGACGTTTCCATTGTGATGCAACATTACCCATGCAAATAATGTTCTGTACAGTCACCTTGTGCTTCTAAAACACCAAAGACCAGCCAACAAAAAAACTGTCCGTTCCATCTTCTAGCGTCCATGTTTGTTTTTAGGGGCTATTTTGTGAGCTTCTAGTTCACAGAAGAGACAATTAACTTCTCTACAGATTAGACTGTAGGGCTGTTTCAAAGGGTTGGTAAACTGAGGCTCTCTCAAGACAAGTAAGCCCATCCAGCTTGGTCAGAGTGCCACCGTGCTGCTGCGTGATGTTACAGAGGGCCAAAGACGTGTTTGTTGATGGGCATCGGATCTCACTCCAAGGATTATCGGCCAATCAGGCCAGCAGCACCTGTCTGTTTTTAACTGCTGATGATAATGAAGCCCAAGGTCAAAGTGACCAGTCTATAATGTACAGTGTGTGTCTAACTGGAATATCATGAAAGGCTTTGCTCACTGAGGAAAGGACCTGCTCAGAATTAAAGAAAGAAAGAAAGTGAATAAATGAAATAATGAATAACTGTAAATGTCTGTAAGGGTTTCGCCCATGTCAGGTCTGAGGATGTATAGTTGAACTTAACTTCTCTTCTTCTGTACTCATTTTAACCTTGAAGCATGTCTAGGCATAGACTAGCATAGTTTCCTACTTTCCAGCTCTTTATCAAAGGAAACTCATAATGTGTAACATAATATCAACACAATGTGTAACATGCTCAACGGTTCACCAAGCTTTGGAGAACGGTTCCAGTCCTGGATATGTCTCTTTGTCCCTTCACACTCTGTTCAATGTTAGTTTTTCTTTAGCAGTGTTAAAACAGTGCTTTAGAAGTGTCTCACTGTGTTGTTTGAAACCAGTGACCGATATCTTCAGTTCCCTTTCAGTTTCATCAACTGACCTCAACAACATAGTGTCACTGCAAAGACTGAAATGTACCTGCTATGTCACCTGCTTTACTCAACTTCTGTCAACCTTCACTTCTACTTATCTCATTTACATATGAGGGCTATTTCTGTCTAGTTTGTCTGTCACCAACCATCTCCTGTTGTTTCCCATTCTCTCGTCTAGCCTCCCTTCCTATAAGACAACGATAATGTTGCATATCTTTATTTCCCTTGAAATGAATAATTATGTTTAAAAAATAACTTTAAATTAATATAAAATAGCGCCTTTACATTTTTTGAAACGATTAAACTTGAATTATGAAAATGAAAAGTTGTCCTGTTGTTTGTGTAACATGTACACTATACAGTACCAGTCAAAAGTTTGGACACACCGACTCATTCAAGGGTTTTTCTTTATTTTTACTATTTTCTACATTGTAGAATAATAGTGAAGACATCAAAACTATGAAACAACACGTATGGAGTCATGTAGTAACCAAAAAAGTGTTAAACAAATCAGAACATATATATTTTTTGAGATTCTTCAAATAGCCACCCTTTGCCTTGATGACAGCTTTGCACACTCTTGGCATTCTCTCAACCAGCTTCACCTGGAATGCTTTTCCAACAGTCTTGAAGGAGTTCCCACATACGCTGAGCACTTGTTGGCTGCTTTTCCTTCACTCTGCTGTCTGACTCATCCCAAACCATCTCAATTGGGTTGAGGTCGGGTGATTGTGGAGGCCAGGTCATCTGATGCAGCACTCCATCACTCTCCTTCTTGGTAAAATAGCACTTACACAGCCTGGAGGTGTGTTAGGTCATTGTCCTGTTGAAAAACAAATGATAGTCCCACTAAGCCCAAACCAGATGGGATGGCGTATCGCTGCAGAATGCTGTGGTAGCCATGCTGGTTAAGTGTGCCTTGAATTCTAAGTAAATCACCAACAGTGTAACCAGCAAAGCATCCCCACACCATAACACCTCCTCCTCCATGCTTTACGGTGGGAACTACACATGCAGAGATCATCCGTTCACCCACCCCGCGTCTCACAAAGACAGCGGTTGGAACTAAAAATCTCCAATTTGGACTCCAGACCAAAGGACACATTTCCACCAGTCTAATGTCCATTGCTCGTGTTTCTTGGCCCAGGCAGGTCTCTTCTTCTTATTGGTGTCCTTTAGTCGAGGTTTCTTTGCAGCAATTCGACCATGAAGGCCTGATTCACAAAGTCCCATCTGAACAGTTGATGTTGAGATGTGACTTGAACTCTGTGAAGCATTTATTTGGGCTGCAATTTCTGAGGCTGGCAACTCTAATGAACTTATCCTCTGCAGCAGAGGTAACTTTGGGTCTTCCATTCCTGTGGCGGTCCTCATGAGAGCCAGTTTCATCATAGCGCTTGATATTTTTTTGCGACTGCACTTGAAGAAACTTTCAAAGTTCTTGAAATGTTTCATATTGACTGACATTTATGTCTTAAAGTAATGATAGACTGTCATTTCTCTTTGCTTATTTGAGCTGTTCTTGCCATAATATGGACTTGGTCTTTTACCAAATAGGCCTATCTTCTGTATACCTATCCTACCTTGTCACAACACTACTGATTGGCTCAAAAGCATTAAGAAGTAAAGAAATTCCACAAATTAACTTTTAAGAAGGCATACCTGTTAATTGAAATGCATTCCAGGTGACTACCTCATGAAGCTGATTGAGAGAATGCCAAGAGTGGGCAAAGCTATCTTCAAGGCAAAGGGTGGCTATTTGAAGAATCTCAAATATAAAATATATTTTGATTTGTTTAACATTTTTCTTTGGTTACTACGTTATTCCATATGTTTTTTCATACTTTTGATGTCAAATGAGTGGATTTGGCTATTTCAGCCACACCCGTTGCTGACAGGTGTATAAAATTGAGCACATAGCCATGCAATCTCCATAGACAAACATTGGCAGTAGAATGGCCTTACTGAAGAGCTCAGTGACTTTCAATGTGGCAACGTCATAGGATGCCACCTTTACAACAAGTCAGTTCATCAAATTTCTGCCCTGCTAGAGCTGCCCCGGTCAACTGTAAGTGCTGTTATTGTGAAGTAAAAACATCTGAGCAACAACTGCTCAGCCACAAAGTGGTAGGCCACACAAGCTCACAGAACTGGACCACCGTGCTGTAGCGCGTAAAAATCGCCTGTCCTCAGTTGCAACACTCACTACCGAGTTCCAAACTGCCTCTGGAAGCAACGTCAGCACAAGAACTGTTCATCAGGAGCTTCATGAAATTGGTTTCCATGGCTGAGAAGCCACAAACAAGCCTAAGATCACTGCGTTCTCTGGAGTGATGTATCATGCTTTACCATCTGGCAGTCCGATGGACGAATCTGGATTTGGCGGCTACCTGCCCGAATGCATAGTGCCAACTGTAAAGTTTGGTGGAGGAGGAATAATGGTCTGGGGCTGTTTTTCATGGTTCTGGCTAGGCCCCTTAGTTCCAGTTAAGGGAAATCTTTACGCTACAACATAAAATGACCTTCTAGATGATCATGTGCTTCCAACTTTGTGGCAACAGTTTGGGCAAGGCCCTTTCCTGTTTCAGCATGACAATGCCCCCGTGCACAATGCAAGGTCCATACAGAAATGGTTTGTCGAGATCGGTGTGGAAGAACTTGACTGGCCTGCACAGAGCCCTGACCTCAACCCCATCGAACACCATTGGGTTGAATTGGAACGCCGACTGCGAGCCAGGCCTAATCGCCCAACATCAGAGCTCGACCTCACTAATGCTCTTGTGGCTGAATGAAAGCAAGTCCCAGCAGCAATGTTCCAACATCTAGTGGAAAGCATTCCCAGAAGAGTGAAGGCTGTTTATAGCAGCAAAGGGGGAACCAACTCCATATTAATGTCCATGATTTTGGAATTAGATGTTTGACTAGCAGGTGTCCACATACTTTTGGTCATGTAGTGTATCATTCAACTTTTAATCCGGCTTCAACCTATGATTGGGCGAGGCACGCTGCAATCTTAGTTTAAACTCAATTTGACCATGTCAACGTGGTTGCATTTAGTTATCTGTATGTAAGTGACTTGAGCTGTCACACATCAGTCAGGCAAAATGATCATCAGAAAGAGTTGAACATTCTTGAGTGGATGAATGGGTGAACCGATGGATGGATTGGATTACATGCAAGCGAGGGTGAAAAGGTGGGTTTTTAGAAGGGCATGGAAGATGGTCTCTGAATTACAGCTGTATAGTATGCACTAAGGGCCAGTTCGAAGCCTAAAATCTCATTTGAAAGTGCTTTTTTGGCAACAGCAAAAAAAGTTAATTACTGTATGTGGGTACTGAGGAACTGTCCAAGGTACTACTGCCGAATGCCCACTAGGTGGCAATCAACAAATATGGAACAGACCATGCACACAGTCCACAAACTAAAGACAAGTTAGGATTTAAACTGAACATTTTGTACAATGCATATTTTATGAGTCTGTCTCAGTTGTGTTTGAAAGATCGTACAAGTGCCACTGCAATGAAACGGCTACATTTGAACTTTTGTGTGACACTTGGAGTTTAAGACAACTGGGAACTCGGGAAAAAAAACGAGGTCAAATCATAACGTCCGTGATCGTCAGGTCGGAAATCCGGAGCTCTAGAAAGATGCCCGTGTTTCTGACTTAGAATTCCGACTTGGATGATCATTCAAAACTATTTCCAGGTTTCTTGAAAGCACTGTAGTCGGAGATTTCCGAGTTTCCATTTGTTTTGAACGCGGCAAGAGCTGTTTGGTTCCGCCTTTGTCCTGCCCACATGGAGAGACGTCACGAAACAACACAAAGTACGACCAAATATATTTATAACTAACCCAAGACAGCTTATCTGTGTGGTTTACAGTGGGAGCAAATGCAGCATAGTGGGCAGAACACGCAAGGAGGTGGGCAAAGCCAAGCACGAGCTAGCGAGATCCTATTGGCGCGTTGCAGCAAGTATTTGCATATTTTCGTTAGGGAACGCCTCCTCTGAAGTGCGCATGTGCACAAACTCAATTCGACGTTGCACTCCTTCTCAACAACGCCATTTTTAAAACTTTGGCAAAGCATCAAGTCTATAAAACTCAGTGCACTGTTTTCGTAACATATTATAGTTTTGGGAACATAAATGTATTGAGAGCAGATGTTTCATTGATGAAAAAATTAGCAGAATGTCGGCCCAGTTTCACCTAGTTCCATATTCTCCCATTACCCGCGACTGTACTTCCTCTCACTGCCATCTTTGGTGGTGAGAAAACGAACGCTTCAGCTTTATAGCCCCTGTCTGGGTTTCTCCTTCTGTCAGTGGGTACAACACGGAAGAAGGTCTTCGCTGCAATAATTTGACACTTCTGCTTGTTCACTTCGAATAACTACATGTCTATTCTTCCTCAAGAAGAATTGGTCAAGAAATGGGAAAGGTCAGACACGTTTCTCCTCTCAATTTGACATAATAAAATGGCTATATGTAAACTGTATTTCGCAGCGAAAAGGAGCACGCGCTGCTCCTCCTCACCTGTGTCAAATGTCATTTGATTAGAACACCACAGACAGGTGTGACAACTAGCTACTGTAGCTCACATAATTTGCTAGCGAAACAGTCCACCCGGTGGTAGCTACAATTACAGTGCTTTCTAGCTAGTTAGTTTAAATAAAGCCAGACATTACAGTATAAAAAGTAAGGGTCTCAAGTTCATATTCAACCAGCCAAGAGGCAGAACAGTTGTCTGGCTTGTGGAGTAGTGGCGGTCAGTGCCATTTAAGATGAGGGAGGACGGGGTTTTTTTCATGAGCATGGCCTTATTTCTATTACAGCATATTGGATGACTGTCATTCATATTCCATTCACCCAGTTTAATGTAACAGCGATAGGTTTAGGCTACTACATGATACTCAAATTTTCCCTATACTCATCATGAGGTTGCTTCCGTTTAAGAAACGTTTTTCAACAGAATCAGCAGAATGAATACACCCCTGATCACGCATAAACACACAGCCACGTTGTATTACTTCTCGCTTCCATGCGCTCTCCTCATCCCTACGCGTGTGGACAATTGTGCCATCTGGTTTGCTTAATATAAGGAATTTGAAATGATTTTTACTTTTGATACTTAAGTAAATTAATGCAATTACATTTACTTTTGATACTTAAGTATATTTAAAATCAAATACTTAGACTTTTACTCAAGTAGTATTTTACTGGGTCACTTTTACTTGAGTCATTTCCTATTAAGGTATCTTTACTTTTACTAAAGTATGACAATTGGGTACTTTTTCCACAACTGTTAGTGCATTTTTTTCCCTGCTTTACAATCCCCATTTTGGTTTTATTATAGAATTTCTTCCATATAGCCAAATTTCCTCATCTGCTTCCCCTATCAAGGTGTTTTTGTACTTCCCTTATGCACCACGCTTTTCTGCCTGCTTACTATACAGTCCACTCTATCCTGCCCTCTATCCATAGTGACAATAGTGGTAGCTGGATTGTTTGTCCAGATCTGCAATAGGCTAACTAGCAATCATACCACACACAAAATCATTCAAAGCTGCTCCAATTTTCTATATAAATCCACAAGAACAGAGGAATACAGTGCCTTGCAAAAGTATTCATCCCCCTTGGCGTTTTTCCTATTTTGTTGCATTACAACCTGTAATTTAAATTGATTTTTATTTGGATTTCATGTAATGGACATACACAAAATAGTCCAAATTGGTGAAGTGAAATGAAAAAAATAACCCCTTTGCTATGAAGCCCCTAAATAAGATCTGGTCCAACCAATTACCTTCAGAAGTCACATAATTACTTAAATAAAGTCCACCTGTGTGCAATCTAAGTGTCACATGATCTGTCACATGATCTCAGTATGTATACACCTGTTCTGAAAGGCCCCAGAGTCTGCAACACCACTAAGCAAGCGGCACCACCAAGCAAGCGGCACCAAGAGGACTGAGCACGCCCCCATTCTCATCGACGGGGCTGTAGTGGAACAGGTTGAGAGCTTCAAGTTCCTTGGTGTCCACATCACCAACGAACTATCATGGTCCAAACACACCAAGACAGTCGTGAAGAGGGCACGACAAAGCCTATTCCCCCTCAGGAGACTAAAAAGATTTGGCATGGGTCCTCAGATCCTCAAAAAATTCTACAGCTGCACCATCGAGAGCATCCTGACTGGTTGCATCACCGCCTGGTATGGCAACTGCTTGGCCTCTGACCGCAAGGCACTACAGAGGGTAATGCGTACGGCCCAGTACATCACTGGGGCAAAGCTCCCTGCCATCCAGGACCTCTATACCAGGCGGTGTCAGAGGAAGGCCCTCAAAATTGTCAAAGACTCCAGTCACCCTAGTCATAGACTGTTCTCTCTGCTACCACACGGCAAGCGGTACCGGAGTGCCAAGTCTAGGTCCAAAAGACTTCTCAACAGCTTCTACCCCCAAGCCATAAGACTCCTGAACAGCTAATCATGGCTACCCGGACTATTTGCACTGCCCCCCACCCCATCCTTTTTACGCTGCTGCTACTCTGTTAAGTATTTATGCATAGTCACTTTAACTCTACCCACATGTACATATTACCTCAACTACCTCAACTAGCCGGTGCCCCGCACACTGACTATGCAACGGTACCCCCCTGTATATATAGCCTCCTACTGTCACTTTATTCTATTGTATATATAGCCTCCCTACTGTCACTTTATTTTTTACTTCTGCTCTTTTTTTCTCAACACTTTTTTGTTGTTGTTTTATTCTACTTTTTTGTTTAAAATAAATGCACTGTTGGTTAAGGGCTGTAAGTAAGCATTTCACTGTAATGTCTGCACCTGTTGTATTCGGCGCATGTGACCAATAAAATTTGATTTGATTTGATTTGATTTGACCATGAAGACCAAGCTCTCCAAACAGGTCAGGGACAAAGTTGTGGAGAAGTACAGATTTGAGTTATAAAAAAATATCTGCAACTTTGAACATCCCACAGAGCACCATTAAATCCATTATTAAAAAATGGAAAGAATATGGCACCACAACAAACCTGCCAAGAGAGGGCCGCCCACCAAAACTCACGGACCAGGCTAGGAGGGCATTAATCAGAGAGGCAACAAAGAGAGCAAAGATAACCCTGAAGGAGCTGCAAAGCTCCACAGCGGAGATTGGAGTATCTGTCCATAGGACCACTTTAAGCCGTACTGTGAGAAGGTGAGTTGAAGGAGTCAGCCGCAGGAGGGTAAATCACAGAACACAGAGTTTATTCCGTAATACACAGTTACGCTGGATAGCGTCAACAACACAGTGCGTAAACAGAAGCACTGGAACACAATAAATGCACACGGGGAAAATAACCCCGGCAATACAAGATACAGGTAGCTCAACCGAGCTACACTCATCTCACTTAAAACAATCACCCACACAGACAGGGAAGCAGAGGGAACACTTATACAATGACTAATGATGGGAGAAGAACCAGGTGTGTGTGATTGACAAGACAAGACAAATGGAATGATGAAAAATGGAGCGGCAGTGGCTAGTAAGCTGGTGACGACGAACGCTGAAACCTGCCCGAACAAGAAGGGGAGGCAGCCTCGGCGGAAGTCGTGACACGTACACTCCACAGAGCTGGGCTTTACGAAAGAGTGGCCAGAAAAAAGCCATTGCTTAAAGAAAAAAAATAAGCAAACACGTTTGGTGTTCGCCAAAAGGTATGTGGGAGACTCCCCAAACATATGGAAGAAGGTACTCTGGTCAGATGAGACTAAAATAGAGCTTTTTGGCCATCAAGGAAAACGCTACATCTGGTGCAAACCCAACACCTCTCATCACCCCGAGAACACCATCCCGACAGTGAAGCATGGTGGTGGCAGCATCATGCTGTGGGGATGTTTTTCATCGGCAGGGACTGGGAAACTGGTCAGAATTGAAGGAATGATGTATGGCGCTAAATACAGGGAAATTCTTGAGGGAAACCTGTTTCAGTCTTCCAGAGATTTGAGACTGGGACGGAGGTTCACCTTCCAGCAGGACAATAACCCTAAGCATACTGCTATAGCAACACTCAAGTGGTTTAAGGGGAAACATTTAAATGTCTTGGAATGGCCTAGTCAAAGCCCAGACCTCAATCCAATTGAGAATCTGTGGTATGACTTAAAGATTGCTGTACACCAGCGGAACCCATCCAACTTGAAGGAGCTGGAGCAGTTTTGCCTTGAAGAATGGGCAAAAATCCCAGTGGCTAGATGTGCCAAGCTTATAGAGACATACCTCAAGAGACTTGCAGCTATAATTGCTGCAAAAGGTGGCTCTACAAAGTATTAACTTTGGGGGGGTGAATAGTTATGCACGCTCAAGTTTTCCGTTTTTTTGTCTTATTTCTTGTTTGTTTCACCCCCAAAAATATTTTGCATCTTCAAAGTGGTAGGCAAACGATGTAAACCCCCCAAAAAATCCATTTTAATTCCAGGTTGTAAGGAAACAAAATAGGAAAAATGCCAAGGGGGTGAATACTTTCGCAAGCCACTGTAGCTGATAGGCAGCGGAGAGGCCAGGTGCATCATTGCGCATGAAAGAATACTTAAGACACGCAGCTCAAAAAGCTCCCTACTGATCTTGTTTAGGCCATACAAATGTAATTTACTATATAACGGATGCCCCTCTTTACATTTCTCAAAATAGAAAAAAAGCAAACATAAAACAATGACTAATTTAATTCATATGAAACTATTTTTTTCATGCTGAAACAGTCCATTTTCAATGTTTTTCCCAAAAAACCTTCCTAATAAATGTTGACTGCAAAGTAGGCCTACCTGGCAGAATGATATCATTATTATTTGTATCAATGGGGTGCACATTTGTTTTGCATACTCTGTCCATCATATGTGCAGTACAGAAACCTGACAGTAACGCCGCTAGCCTAACAAAAATGTACTGTGACTAAAACTCAGTTGGGACATACTTTCAATGGTGCTCTCCAACAGCTGACACTAATATAGTGGATTGGGGGGGGTACCCTAACTGTGACTCAAACCCTGGTCCCTGGTCCCTGTCATTCCAAAACCATTATACTGTCACAATCCTCGCTATATGAGCCATGATGAGGGTGGCAGATAGGCTAGCGGTTAAGAGCGTTGAGCCAGTAACTGAAAAGTCGCTGGTTCGAATCCCCAAGCCAACTAGGTGAAAAGTCTGTCGATGTGCTCTTGAGCAAGGCACTTAACCCTAATTGCTCCTGTAAGTCGCTCTAGATAAGAGCGTTTGCTAAATGACTAAAATGTAAATGTAAAATGTAATGATACAATTCCTATCAAGTGGAGTAACCGTATTGGCACGATCCCATAGGGTGTTTTCCTTTCTCTTACAAAACATCTTTAACTTTAAAACATTTTAATTACATTCATAGATTGTCAAGCCAAGCCTTTGGTACTGAGTAGGGAGGGATCTATTTTCTGTTTGTCGAGATTTACATAATCAATTTGATTGTAGTGTTGAAAACGTAAACCACGATGAAGTCGGTAATCGGTATGCAGTTATGCATTACTTATTGGTTGTGTGTGGTGCAATGGCACAGAAACTTGTTGGTGGAAAACGTTGCATATGTTTTATATAATTAAGTAATAAGGCACGAGGGGGTGTGGATATGGCCAATATATCATGGCTAAGGGCTGTTCTTACGCATGATGCAACACAGTGTGCCTGCATATAGCCCTTAGCCGTGGATAAGAGCGTAAATGACTAAAATGTAAATTGTATATTGGCCATATACCACAAACCCCCAAGGTGCCTTATTGCTATTATAAATTGGTTACCAACGTAATTAGAACAGTAAAAAGTAATTTCAGCTAATCAGCATTCAGGGCTCGAACCACCCAGTTTACAATTATAAATATAGCATCAAAATGTTGAAAATCTGATTTCCCCCTAGCTGATGATCATTGTCTGCAGCCGTCTCTGATCGTAGTGTAATGAGACAGGCAGGGAGAGTGAGCTCGTCAGTGGTGGTCAGCAAACCCTCAACCTTCTGGCCCGTAGCCCTGCGTGGCATCGACTGTGCCACAGAACCATGCTGAAGTGGTCAATTCGATATCCACGTTTACTCATTTTGCCATGAGGCAGAGACACATCTTTGCAGTTTTAAAGCTAATTTCCTGCAATTCAACACATTTTGCCATGACGTATGCAACATGAATGATATCTGAGTGAGAGTGATTAACAACATCAATGGGGGCCCCCTGGAGGTCAGGGCCCCTGGGCATGTGCCCGGTCGGTATTAGGCAATGATAGCTGGCTAGAATAACTTAGCAATCAAAAAATTGTTAGCTGACATGGCTAATTGAGTGACTGTCAGTAACTGACAGAACAAGAGAAAAACCGCTGATGCACAACCACATTTCGAAATTGCACCTTGTGTATTCTACTATTCTAACTCTCAACAGTAAGTTGAGACCCCGACTGAGTTCCAAAAAAATAAATAAAGAACGCTCTTTTTTTTTGCAGGACAAAGGGAGGGTCATGTGAAAATGCGTCCGAGGGCCTAAGCGACCACTTATGCTTGGAGCCAGCCCTGCACAAGTTGGTGTTTTGAACCCTATGAACTGTGCGCATAGGATACCACATAACCACATAACCATATGAAAGGTCTGAATGTAGGCATAGTTATCCTTGTTCAATACTGGATAGCCCTGGTGAGGTGCAGGTAGGGTTGTCGTGGGAGAACAGTAGGAAGTTACCCTATGACACCAGCAGAGGGACACAGCAACTGGGCAGGTGAGGTGAGACCTTTCTGCAAGAGAATTTTCCTGCCAACAGTAACCCTGGAATGCTGCCAGTATAGGCTACCTCTCTCAGCCATTGATTTGTGAATCTATTGTGACCGTCACTGATAATGGTATCATGTCCCTTTTCCCAGCGCCGCATCCTTTGTGGATTTGTGTCTGACAGTAGAGATGTAGAAGCCAAGCTGATGGTGTATGGGGACCAGTGCTGTAGAATGCCTCATTACTAGTAGAAGTCTTCATCCACTGTTGGCCGGTCCAAATTTGCTCCCTACCTCTCCCCCTTGGCCCTAACCCTTTGTTGTTTTTTCTCACCCTCTCTCCTCTCTCTCTCCTAGTGAACAGGCCAGCCTGAGGCAGCAGGTGGTGGAGGAGGACACAGAGGATTGGCAGAGAAGTCCAGACTTCACCGGGCTGGAGAGGGTTGGAGGAGTGGACCTGTCGTTCATCAAAGGAGATGATGTCAACGCCTGTGCCCAGCTAGTGGTACTCAGCTACCCAGACCTAGAGGTAAGGCACTGACTCAAACCATTTCTATGCTAATGCTAACCATGGGCTGTATCTTAATGCTATAAATTGGTTTCCTTTTCTCCTCTGCCTCATAAGCACTGCTTGAGCATACTGGATGAAAGAAAGATGGTGTTCTTTTTGTGTTTCACCTGTATAGCTCTTCTGTATTAGTGTGGATCAAGGAAAGGAGACAAGGAAAGGAAGTGACTTGAAGGTATTGACATACAGGCCATGTCTGTTCAGTCATCCTAGCAGTTTGTGACCATGAGTCTTGCCTCAACTTTTCATTGCCTCTATTTTTCATTCTTAACCGTTCCACTCCCTCTATTGGACCCGACCCTAATTCTCCATCAAGGGCTGTCAACACATTCTGTAACACAACCCATCATAATTAATAATATTTGCCAGCTTGTTTTGTTGATACATGGACCAATTTTGTTGTAATGTTATTATACTAAGGCTAATTAAATGTTCCCCAGTCAGAGCAGACACAATAATTTACCCAGAGTCTCTCCCATAGTTTTTTATTGGATTTATTCACATCATAAGCCCAAACAATTTCAGTATAGCCAAGAGACACAATTAGTTTTGACAAATTGTCTGCTTGAAGTTAAAATAATGTTGAATATCCAAGGATGAATATCTGAGTAATTTTCTGAATTACAGTAATTTGTGTGACATTCACATGACAATTAACATAGAAGATTGTAAAATACTAAATGAAAATTCTGACAATGACAGGCATTTTTGCAGTATTACAACCACTCCTCCTCAATCATGCGCAGGTCAGCAGCTTTTTCATGACGAACTCGATCCAGTAGACGGCCCTGTCCAGTGGCTTCATGGGATGGTCTCTGTGCAGTCTGGAGAGCCTCTGCATGTTGGACTTGTAGGCCCCATTGTGGAGAACGTCCTGCAAGCCCTGAAGAAAGATCCCTCTATTAAAACTGCCGATGTCTAAATCCTTGGCGGCTCCTCTCTCTTCCAGCCGGAGAAGATTGTGAAATTGTCTCGGAACAGTGGCAAACCCAACACCATGGTAAATGGCCTCCTGGACACCATTTGTAACCCCATGTGACACAAAAGCTCTGATCTTGTCATGACCAAGGTGGTCAGACTGAGGCAGCCATTTTACCAGGAGGGTATTGTTAGCCATAATGGAGGGCTTGTCGCTAACATGTTTCCACATGACTTTCTGAGGCATCTGGGAAAAGGCAGAAGCAATTTCAGTGGATACATCCCTCGTAAGCCTAAGGATCCTAACTACATTATAACGACCCCATGTTCTCCAGAGCTCTGAACAAACTCTTCTAGCTCTGTGGAGAGCGGTTGAGCAGGCTTACAGTAGAAGCCACCAATGTGTACAATGTTTGGCATAGTTGGACATGGAGACTCGAAAACAAAATCTGAGCGAATCAACCATAGGTCAGCTGAACGGAGCGATGTGTAATAATATCTCGGCCAAAGTATTTATCACAAAGCTCATCATAGTATAGATCGAACTCTACAATTTCCTGGTAAACCATAATACCATAAAACATATTTCTGAGCCTCTGTAAGAAATTCATATCCTCCGATAAACCTGATCTAAAAACTGAAACAAATGACAATGGTGAGGGAGAAATAGCAAAATGGGCTATACCAGCTGTGGTCTAACGAGTGCTGTTAACTAAAGGCAATCTAATAAAATGCGCCAGTAAGACTCCCCGACCCCATGCAGGATCTGTGAGCACAATGTCATACCTCGCTTCCACAAGGCTTTTCATTTGTTCTTTATCCTCAACCATTGCTCTTACCGTACCACACATACTTTCTTGAATCTTTGAAAGTATATCAACATGAGCATTTTGTTCTCTGAAGAATTTCATAAGAAATGTATCCTCTCTGTGTATTTGAAGGATTGTTTGCACAAGTGATATAATGGAATTTTATCATGCCCGCCTATTGTTGGGATGCTTATCAAGGTGTAGAGTAGGGATGGGCAACTGTAGATTCAGATAATTTTCTATTTATCAGAGCCATTAGGTTTTGTACCAGAATCAGTACGGCTTTAAAGTGATAGTTCTGTGAAATTATATACAGTGGGGAATACAAGTATTTAGTCAGCCACCAATTGTGCAAGTTCTCCCACTTAAAAAGATGAGAGAGGCCTGTAATTTTCATCATAGGTACACGTCAACTATGACAGACAAAATGAGAAAAAATAATCCAGAAAATCACATTGTAGGATTTTTTATGAATTTATTTGCAAATGATGGTGGAAAATAAGTATTTGGTCAATAACAAAAGTTTCTCAATACTTTGTTATATACCCTTTGTTGGCAATGACACAGGTCAAACGTTTTCTGTAAGTCTTCACAAGGTTTTCACACACTGTTGCTGGTATTTTGGCCCATTCCTCCATGCAGATCTCCTCTAGAGCAGTGATGTTTTGGGGCTGTCGCTGGGCAACACAGACTTTCAACTCCCTCCAAAGATTTTCTATGGGGTTGAGATCTGGAGACTGGCTAGGCCACTCCAGGACCTTGAAATGCTTCTTACGAAGCCACTCCTTCATTGCCCGGGCGGTGTGTTTGGGATCATTGTCATGCTGAAAGACCCAGCCACGTTTCATCTTCAATGCCCTTGCTGATGGAAGGAGGTTTTCACTCAAAATCTCACGATACATGGCCCCATTCATTCTTTCCTTTACACGGATCAGTCGTCCTGGTCCCTTTGCAGAAAAACAGCCCCAAAGCATGATGTTTCCACCCCCATGCTTCACAGTAGGTATGGTGTTCTTTGGATGCAACTCAGCATTCTTTGTCCTCCAAACACGACGAGTTGAGTTTTGACCAAAAAGTTCTATTTTGGTTTCATCTGATCATATGACATTCTCCCAATCCTCTTCTGGATCATCCAATTGCTCCCACAGTTGATTTCTTCAAACCAAGCTGCTTACCTATTGCAGATTCAGTCTTCCCAGCCTGGTGCAGGTCTACAATTTTGTTTCTGGTGTCCTTTGACAGCTCTTTGGTCTTGGCCATAGTGGAGTTTGGAGTGTGACTGTTTGAGGTTGTGGACAGGTGTCTTTTATACTGATAACAAGTTCAAACAGGTGCCATTAATACAGGTAACGAGTGGAGGACAGAGGAGCCTCTTAAAGAAGAAGTTACAGGTCTGTGAGAGCCAGAAATCTTGCTTGTTTGTAGGTGACCAAATACTTATTTTCCACCATAATTTGCAAATATATTCATTAAAAATCCTACAATGTGATTTTCTGGAATTTTTTTTTCTCAATTTGTCTGTCATAGTTGATGTGTACCTATGATGAAAATTACAGACCTCTCTCATCTTTTTAAGTGGGAGAACTTGCACAATTGGTGGCTGACTAAATACTTTTTTTCCCCACTGTATTTAGATTTTAAAAAAAGGAAAACCCGCACACTGAAAAAAAACAGGCGACAGGCTTATTTATTTTTCATATTTGCAGTGAAACGATCGTAAGCACTTAAGTCAAGGTCGGTCACCTGACGTTTTTCAGGGTGCGGTATATACTCTTGTTTTTTAATGCTAGTTTCTGCCAAAACCAGCACCTGGACCTAGACACACTGCTGTGCACAATAGTTTCTCTTTCTTTGTTTATATATATTTGTATATACAGTGAGGTTCAAAAGTATTTGGACAGTGACATATGTATTGTTGTTTTGGCTCTGTACTCCAGCACTTTGGAATGAAATTATACAATGACTATAAGGTAAGTGCAGACTGACTGTCAGCTTTAATTTGAGGGTATTTTCATCCATATCGGGGGAACTGTTTAGAAATATCAGCACTTTTTGTACGTAGTCCCCCCATTTTAGGGAACGATTAATGAATGAATCGTGAATAAAGATGAAAGTTACATTGGCATAAATATCATACACCCCCCCAAAAAAATGCTAACCTCCCCTGTTATTGATGATGGTGAGAGGTTAGCATGTCTTGGGGGTATGATATATGTGCGTCTGTAACTTTCTCACTCATCATTATTCACGATTCATTCATAATTATCCGTAATCATGGTAACATCCACATGAATGTAGAAGTGTTCAGAAACATTTTCTATTCTTATTTACAATAAAAGTGACTCCAAAATGACACAATACATTATTTACCAATCATTTCTATTGGCCACAAAATATTCTGAAACATAACCAAAACAAACTGAAAATGCATCCAACAAGTTTGTAGAGTCACAAGATTGCCTTCAGAAAGTATTCACACCCTTTGACTTTTTCCACATTTTATTGTGTTACAGCCTGAATTTAAAATGGATTAAATGTAGATTTTTTTTACTGGCCTAAATACAATACCCCATAATGTCAAAGTGGAATTATGTTTTTAGAAATGTTTACAAATTAATAAAAAATGTAAAGCTGAAATGTCTTGAGTCAATAAGTATTCAACCCCTTTGTTATGGCAACCATATTAAATATTTTCAAGCATAGTGGTGGCTGCATCATGTTATGGGTATGCTTGTAATCGTTAAGGACTGGGGAGTTTTTCAGAAACAAAAAAGAAACGGAATGGAACTAAGCACAGACAAAATCCTAGAGGAAAACCTGGTTCAGTCTGCTTTCCACCAGACACTGAGAGATGAATTCATCTTTCAGCAGGACAAAAACCTAAAACACATAGCCAAATCTATACTGGAGTTGCTTACCAAGAAGACAGTGAATGTTCCTGAGTGACTGAGTCACAATTTTGACTTAAATCTACTTGAAAATCTATGGCAAGACCTGAAAATGGTTGTTTAGAAATGATCATCAACCAAGTTGACAGAGCTTGAAGAATTTTGAAAAGAGTAATGGACAAATGTTGCACAATCCAGGTGTGGAAAGCTCTTAGAGACTTACCTAGAAAGACTCACAGCTGTAATTGCTGCCAAAGGTGCTTCTACAAAGTATTGGGTGTCAATACTTAAGGAAATTAGATATTTTTGTATTTCATTTTAAATACATTTGCAAACATTTCTAAAAACATATTTTCACTTTGTAATTACGGGGTATTGTGTGTAGATGGGTGAGAAAAAAATACATATTTAATCTATTTTGAATTCAGGCTGTAGCACAACAAAATGTGGAATAAGTTTAGGAGTATGAATACTTTCTGAAGGCAATGTATTAGATATAACACGGGCACACATTTATGCCGGTGTTCTCTGTTGTCTGTTCCCTGTGCCCACTACCAGCTGCTGTATGAGGACAGTCAGATGGTGACCCTAACCGCCCCCTACATCTCAGGGTTCCTGGCCTTCAGGGAGACCCCCTATCTGCTGGAGGCCCTGCAGCGCCTGGAGACGACCCAGCCCAGCCTGCTACCTCAGGTCAGGGCCTGGCCACACACACAACCTGGCTTATCATTGGCATTGGAGATGTTGCAGTTTAACTGACTTAGTTACTGTTATACTCCGAGAACCCGAATGTCTCAATTTTGTTGAAACTAAATATCACTCTGAAATGTCTCAGACTAATGTCTAACTTTTGTTGAGACTAAAGGTTAGTATAATTTCATAGAAAATTAGTACAATTTCATAGAAAATTAGTACAATTTCATTGAAAAATAGTACAATTTCATTGATGTTGTCGGTTTGCTGTGTCCAACTGTTTAACTGTTCACCTCGGAGCGATACGTCTCAATGTGTTAATACCTTTCTTTTCAGCTATCCTATCCCCTCTATCTTCCTCTCCCACGATGTGACTCCAGTCAGCTTTATCATCCATTCCTTCCCACTCTCCTGTGTTAGTCACAGCCCACACAAATCACTCATTCCCACCTCAAGTCGGGTCCCTGTCCACACACACACACACGCAAAACACCTCTCCCACGCAAAACACGCACACACACTCTGCCTAACTCACACACACTACCCTCATGGATTTATCACTGACATTTACCCATGGGCACTGACAGACCAGTACCTGCTGTTTTATGTACAGCTCCTACAATGATTTCTTCATGACTTATGATTCACAGAAGAAATATGCCTGTACAACCACCTTGGCACTGTAAGAATTCACTGAATGGGCGGTTGGCATAGTTCAATACATCCATCCAATAAAATCTCACTAAGTTTTGTGAAAACTCTCCTTTAGTTAGCCTGTAATGAAGAAAGACCTCATGCTAAGTACAAGGGACAGCAGAGAGCTGCTTTGAGACTTGCTCATCTCTCACGTTGCTTCTTTCTGTATCTGCCCCCAATAGGTGGTCTTGGTGGATGGGAATGGTCTGTTCCACTACAGAGGTGAGTAGTGGAACAGGCTACATACTGTCTACTAATAGCATTTACTACTAACAGTAGCCTGCTATATACGTGCATTCTCAACCAGCCTGTTAAATAGGATAACGTATGAGAATTGAGACTTAAGCTGGTTGTGACGGTCACGTCCCATACTATACATATGGGGTTGTCTTTTTTCCAGAGTTTGGCCTGGCGTGTCACCTGGGAGTTCTGTCAGGGCTTCCTTGTATAGGTGTGGCCAAGAACCTCCTGCAGGTACAGGGTGTGGAGAAGAACGAGGAACACCAGTCACAAGTGAGAGCTCCACCACTCACATTTCACACTACTAGAGACCAAAATGCTGAACGGATAAACACATTTTTGAGGAGGGGGGAATTGCATTGAATCAAATTACTAATTTCCATTGATTGAATGCCCGTAAGGGCGGGGTGTCGCTAGTTATATTTAATTCGTTTTTAGTTTTTACAATAATCAACTAGTTAACACATTCTGATGGATAGCACTCAACTGAGATCTCAACTGGCATTGGACTACTGAACTGTAGCCCACCTACAGTATGGCTGCATTTGAACAAATGTCTGATCTCCAATGTCAAGCTTTTGTCAAGGTTTTCTTCTCCTCCTCTTCTGTTGTTGACAGACTTCACTTACCATCCTCGGTGGTATGGTCCCTTTTCCTGTGGCTGTATTATGTAGTAGAGAACAAGAAACCTTGACTGAAAAAAGCAAAATAATTATAGGCCTAAGGTTTTAGTGTTCATTTAATCTTCATGAATCATTTATGTGGGATCTTGTCTACCTTTGTGCTCAATTTTTCACTCTTAGTCGTACTGTAGCTGTAATGAAATTGGAGTACAGAGAGCTCAATGCATTATTCATCATTCTATTGTGATCACATTTTTTTAAGGTAGTGTGTTTTCTTGCCTGGATCTATTGTAATGTTTTATTGTGGGATGTTACAGTTTCTCTCCCTAGTGTTTCTGTGGCTTGAACAGTAATTATACAAGTCGAGCAAAAACCTGTTGGTGAAAACCGTAAACCAGCTCTTATTGAAGAGAATACTGGTGGGAGAAGTCTCCAGTAAATATATTTTTTAAAGCAATTTGGCAGCAATTCGTATTATGCAAATGTTCCCTTTGTTTCGTTGTGGAAAATTTCAATCCAAAGTCACAAATAATTACATTTTAAGGAAATTAATTGCATGCTTCAGGCTTGCAACAAGGCAGTGCAATAGTGGGATGGTTTGGTGTCTGTAATGACTGATGGAGGGGTGATAGTAATGACAGAGGTAAAGGAGGTAAGGGATTTGGAATGAGAGAGAGGGAGACCGACAGACAGACATGGCACTAATATGACTAATGTGACCACAATGCTAACAGATTTCCATAGTAAAAGGCCATGGGAGTTTAGCGCAGTACCCAGAACACACGCCACCAGCAATCAACTGCCAAACGGCTCCACACCCTAAAAACTAAATTACCAGGCAGTAACCGCAGCTCAAACGGTCCCCACGACGCACATCTATGTTAGCGTAGCGCACTAATCTTACATAACACTTTGTGAAAAAACCTCGATGTCCCTCAGCTCTGCTTTAGCTCTAACGGCTGTTCTGTTTAGACTCAGATTAGGTTTCCACTGGCACTGTTTATGACCAGAGAAACAGGTTGCGGCTCCCAAGTTAATTAGATCTCTCTCAGGCGACTCTTAACGTCTCACAGACGATAGCGATAGCATAAGCCTCGCTAACCAAACTACTGTAGCCACGGTGTGGATTGCAGTGGCTGAGATTTCTGAGCTGTTGATACAATATCTGTCAGTTAGCTACTGTTAGCTAAAGCGTTTGCTCTTGGCTTTCATTAAGGTATCAGGTAGCTTTTAGCCATCCAGATACATTTCCCTCTGGCTTTTAGCTAGCGACGCTCCAGTTATTTTAAATGAAACATTAGAACACCTCTTATCTTGATTTTGATACTTGGCGTCAGGATCTGTTTTCAAACGATGACTCACTACGGATTGTAGAATGATAGATGTGACCTCCCTGACTTTAATATTGCTTAGATACTAGCGTAGCGTTAAACCTTCATGTGTGTAATTGTTTTTGCTCATTAATCACATCAATGCAACATGAGTCATATTTGTTCCTCCGACTGCTCTCACCTGAAATTAGATTAGGGGAATATGTGTTCATACATCAAGAGTAAAGGAGATGTCAATCCAATGTGTCTCTAGGGTTTCGAAATGTCCAAGTGTTTCGTAACATTGCGATGACGCCCAAGAGGTTTACTGTTGGACAATCAATTCAAATCCAATCCAAATGTCAATTTAAACATCGCAATGCAATTTACTTGAATTGTTCATGGGATTTAAACATGAAGGCGTTTATAGAAGTTCCTGTAATCATGGAGCCTCTGTTGTCACGGTGACATCACATTTCTGTCTCCCTGTTACCCCCTGTGTCTTATTATGGGCTAAAGGTTTGTATGGACATGCCACTGGTCTTCTCCCATTGTGTGTGTGTGTGCACGTGTACATATGTGTGTGTTATGCGTCACTGCAACACATTCAGGTGTACAGGCCATCAGTGGTTCTATTGTGTGTATTGCCAGGGAGTGACTCACTGAGGCCTGTTGAATGAGAGTGCTAGATGGATAGAGGCTTCAGTCCATTCACACGGCAGCTGCTGCACCCGTCTGCTGCTCTGTGGCTGAAATTCCTCTCTCTTGTTCGCTTCTTTCTTTTGCTCCGCTCGGTTTCCCAGCTCTCTCTCACTCCTTTCACTCCTTCTTCTCTCTTTTACTCTCTCTGCAACTGCCGTCTCTCGATATCCCATCATTATCTTTCCCTCTCCCTGTTCTCCCAGACCTGCACTCTTTCTCCCTCCTCCTCTTCCTCTCTGGCACTGAGTCAAACCACTGTGTTATTGATGGTTGGCCTGTCTCATGTCCTACTGCCCAGGGCGGCTGACACAGACACACTGGTCTCCTAGACACCACCAGATGGGCCCTACCTGTCCTGTATTATAATTAGTTATAGTGAAATGGTTTGGACATCAATGCTTTCATTAGTTCAAACCCTCATCATCTCCAATGAGACACCTGTTACAGCATCAGACTTGGCAACAGGGATGAGGATGGTTCGTTTTGATCAGAATGTTTCTCAAGCTGATTACAGGATATGAGAGCTCAGTGTATCATCCAATATGTGCATCATCCAATATGTGAAATATCCGATTTTTAGCTTTCAAGTTTAAGGTCGAGTGAAGACGGGATTGTGCGGTGTTTCTCGGACCGATGACTCACGCTATCCTATGCACTTCAAATGAGATATACACTACATGACCAAAGGTATGTGGACACCTGCTCGCCGAAAATCTCATTCCAAATTCATGGGCATTAATATGGAGTTGATCCCCCTTTGCTGCTATAACAGTCTCCACTCTTCTGGGAAGGCTTTCCACTTGATGTTGGAACATTGCTGCAGGGATTTGCTTCCATTCAGCCACAAGAGTATTAGTGAGGTCGGGCACTGATGTTGGGCGATTAGGCTGGCTCGCAGTCGGCATTCCAATTCATCCTGAAGGTGTTCGATGGGGTTGAGGTCAGGGCTCTGTGCAGGCCAGTCAAGTTCTTCCACACCAATCTCAACAAAACATTTCTGTATGGACCTTGCTTTGTGCACAGGGGCATTGTCATGCTGAAACAGGAAAAGGCCTTCCCCAATCTGTTGCCACGAAGTCGGAAGCAAAGAATTGTCTAGAATGTCATTGTTTGCTGTAGCGTTAACATTTCCCTTCACTGGAACTAAGGAGCCTGAACCATGAAAAACAGCCCCAGACCATTATTCCTCCTCCACCAAACTTTACTGCCAGATGGTAAAGCGTGATTCATCACTCCAGAGAATGAGTTTCCACTGCTCCAGAGTCCAATGGTGGCGAGCTTTACACCACTCCAGCCGACGCTTGGCATTGCACATAGTGATCTTAGGCTTGTGTGTGGCTGCTCGGCCATGGGAACCCATTTCATGATGCTCCCGACCAACAGTTATTGTGCTGACGTTGCTTCCAGAGGCAGTTTGGAACTCTGTAGTGAGTGTTGCAACCGAGGACAGAGACGATTTTTACAAGCTTCAGCACTCGGCGGTCCCGTTCTGTGAGCTTGTGTGGCCTACCACTTCGCAGCTGAGCCATTGTTGCTCCTAGACGTTTCCACTTCACAATAACAGCACTAACAGTTGAGCGGGGCAGCTCTAGCAGGGCAGAAATTTGACTAACTGACTTTTTGGAAAGGTGGCATCCTATGACAGTGCCACGTTGAAAGTCAATGAGCTCTTCAGTAAGGCCATTCTACTGCTCGACTTTATACACTTGTCAGCAACGGGTGTGGCTAAAATAGCCGAATTCACTAATTCGAAGGGGTGTCCACATACTTTTGTGTATATAGTATATTACCAAGGAGGGAACAGGACAGCTACTAGCATGTTGCCTTGTGAGAAAGACAGGAACATGGCTGACAGGGCTGTGAAGAACATGTCAGGGTCTCATCCTCCCCTCGAAGAAAAGAGAGACCGAGGAGATGGGAGAGAGAAAGACAGACGGATAGGCTATTGCAAGAAAAATATACACACGCACAGACAGACAGACAGACAGAGAGAAAGTCAGACAGCCACAGATGGACGGACAAACAGACTGACTGAAAGTCTAGTAGTGTGCATGAAGGATGTTCTGACTCCACTCCTCCTCCTCAGATTGCCTCATTGCAGAAGGGAGGAGACAGCTTCCCTCTGACTACCGACTCAGGAAAAGTGCTGGGGAGGGTAAGACTCACACACACATTCACTGTTTGCACACGAACACATAATCAGTAGTTCTAAACATACATTCACTCCTCTGTCTGTCGCTCTCTTTCTCCTCTCTCTCTCTCTCCATCCCTTTTCGCCCTCTTTCTTTCTAGGCCCTGCGTAGTTCTGACAGCAGTACCAAACCAGTGTATGTTTCAGTGGGCCACAAGATCAGCCTGGACACGGCCCTGCGCCTCACACACTCCTGCTGCCGCTACCGTGTCCCAGAGCCTATCAGACAGGTACACACACACACACAGAGTCAACACACACACACACACACACATAAACACATTACCACACATACACAAACACATGCACACACGCATACGAAAGAGCCACTCAGTCACCAGATTAGTAGTCAGTCCGATCAATGAAAGCCAACTGAGAAAAACCCTGTCAAATGTCAAATGGCTGGGAGGAACATAGCAAATCAATACGGGACACCATGGGAAGTTAATCTGTCTGTCTATGCTTCTCTCATAGAGAGTATAGAGGTCGCACTTGCCACAAAGCCTGTTGTAGCATGGGCAGCGCCATTGAAGTTTATAAATGGCTCTCTTTCTAACTTTATGCTCATCTCCACCTGCGGTCTGTTAGTGTTATTCTGCATTCCTACCACTAGACTGTGCTGTTACCTTAGAGATAAGTGTGGTGGCATAACTCATCTGCCTTACACACCGTGCTGCTGTCAAAACCAGCCCTGCACTGCACCCAGTGCTCTCTCTCACACACACACACACGCACATAAACACGCTCGCTCACTCACTCACTTTCTCTCTCACTGTCTCATTCTCTCTCTCTTTCTCTTTCTCTCTCTTTCTCTCTCTCGCTGTGTCTCGCTCTCTCCAACCCCTCTCTCTGTCTCTCGCTGTCTTTTTCTCCACCTGCCCACACAACACACGCACACAAACAGCGACGCCGCGCGCGCGCGGGCGCGCGCGCGCGAGCGAAACCGCTCGCGCCGAGCGCACGACGCCGGAGCGCGCGCGCGAGCGCGCGCGGCGCGCGCGAGAAACGCGCGCGCGCGGCGCGCGACACGGCGCGCTGCAGAGCTCGCACGACTTCGCTCTCGCGAGTGCTCTCTCGCTCTCTCTCTCTCTACACCTCTCTCTACACCTCTCTCTCTCTCTCTCTCTCTCTCTACACCTCTCTCTCTCTCTCTCTCTCTCTCTACACCTCTCTCTACTCCTGTCTCTCTCTTTCTCCAGACGGTCGTCAAGGTTGACCCTCGACAAACCGTACGGCTGCCAGCCAGCACTCAAACACGTGCACACACACACACACACACACACACACACACACACTGATGATAGCTCGGAGCCAGCAACGACAGGTTGCCAAATTTTCTCGTGCCGTGGAAACAACAATATGCTCCTGCTCCTCAGCGTTTTAATTGCGGTTTACTGTTGGGACCCAAACACAGGAGCAGGTGGCGGAGGGTTGCCAAATAAGGGCACAGGCATCGTTTATGCTTTCAGGAAGAGGGACAAATTGGAGCGTGTATGTTAATTTGGTGTTTTGGGACACCGGAAGTAGGGATTTGGTTTGACAGGTTCGGATAAGTAGCTGGGTATGTAGACTGCACATGTTAGATGGGTTGGGGACCATACTGTAGCAAAGTGATTTTAACTAGGTTGCAGCAGCACCTGTTCAGAGTGTAAACGTAAACCCCTAGCCTCTTTTTCCATTCCCCTTCTCCTCTCCTATCTTTTCCTGTCCTTTCCACTTCTCTTCTCTCATCTTCTCCTCTTTTCTTTCCTCTCCTCCATTCTCCTCCCATCCCCTCTTTCATCTAATTTCCTCCCCTTTACCTTTCCTCACCTCTCTTATTCCTCTCTTCTACTCCTCCCCTTCTCACTGTACCTAAACCTGAGAAAAAGAAAATCCCTCAGTCTGTCTGATCTCGACAGTTAAAAGAGAGAGATGAAAGAGAAAGATGACATCATGGTTGGAGTCTGCAGTGAAGAGTTGGTGGTGTAGAGGGCTGAAGGCAGTGAAGGCACTGCAGCAGAGTCTGTATGCACAGTGTGTTGAGTGCGGAGGAACACACGCTTTTACACTAACATAATCAAGCTCTCCATCTCACCCACTCACGCTCATATACACTTTTAAACTCTCATAGACTCACTGTAACAAATACACTCATTCATATCAATATTATGCACACTCACTTGCTCATACACTCATTCACGCACACATATTCTTGTCAGTCACTGAGAAAGCATGAGACAGCGTTGCCCATTGCAGACATTCAACCTTTTCCATGAGTAAACAGTCTTAGAGCCCTTAGAGGAAGATTGACAAGTGTGTGTCAATAACACACACACACACACTCCCCTCCTCCTTTCCTAATAAGGCCACAAACAAAGCTAATGGACAGTAGGAGTCCTTTCACCTAATGATGAGAGAGGCCAGGCAGGCCCTACAATGCTTAACACCGCACCATTCACACACAGTGGACCCTGTGTGTGTGTGTGTGTGTGTGTGTGTGTGTGTGTGTGTGTGTTCATGCGTGTGTGCGCGTGTCGCCCTTGTGTGTGTGTCTACGGCCACATCCGCTTGGCTGCTAATTATCTCCGGACAGCAGAAATCCATACTAACTGACAGGAAGACATGAACTTGTTAATAGACAACAAGGAACTAAAACTAAAGCCATAACAGTAGTGTACTCTACTACCTACACTCTCTTTCCTTTAGGGAGGAAGGAGGACTCACCAGTGTAGTTGATGACTGCAGCTGAGGAACATCGCCAGTCTTGTGGCACTGACCATTGCCAGTCAGTTATGGCTAGTAGTAGTAATCAATTCAATTTAGTAAAGCTTTATTGTACCCAAAGGGGTGAATTGTTGACAAGACAAAGCACAATGATGTGTCCAGTGTCGCACAGTCCTGCAGACAGGGTAACGACGTTAGAAGGATAGACTGGTGAAAAACGACTAAAACGAACAATGCCTTGCTTCTGTAGTGAAATAGTCGTTCTATTCAACAGTAAATATGTACCGAAAGGCAATATTTCTTAGGTAAAATTTTACCTCAGAGTATAAATGTCATGATTCTGGTAGGAGTCCGCAACTACAGTAGGCACTCCACTCTGGGTGGCTGTTCTAGTGCTACCCTATCTCCATGCCTATATCCTCCATGGCACCACTGGTTGGATATCTGCTCTGCTCATCACACCTGCCCTGTAACACTGTGTTTCCTCCAGCCCTGAGAGCCCTGAGCTGAGACAAGCATCCATTACCCTGCTCTGCATCTGAATCAACAGGAAATGCTAAAGCAGCGCTGCTGCTCCCCAGGTTGTTGCCGTAACAAATGGAATTTCAATGTGAGTGATTGTTGCAGGTAGCGTTAGCAGTAGGCCGTGGTGGGTCTTTGTAGACGGAGGTAAAGGGATGCTGATGGTAGTTTTGTGTGCCGGTGTCCCCGCTGAGACTCTTGCTTCTGTGTTTGTTTAAAGGGAAGGCTTTTATCTGTTTTGTGGGCATCTCTCTTCCTACTGCAGCAGCTACACACACAGACTGCTTACAGAAACTCATGCCTATTGTGTCTCTCTCACTCCTTTTGTTAATGTGTTTGTGTGGGAGCGTATGCCTGTCATATTTCTCACCATCTGTCTGTCTCTCTTTCCCTCTTTCTCTCACTCTCCCTCTTTCCTTCCCTCTTTCTCTCTCCCTTTCTTTTTCTCTCCCCCCTCCAATCTCTCGCTGTCCTTCCCTCACTCTCTCTCCCACCCCCTCTCTTCCCCCTCTCCTCTCCTTTGAATAATTCAACCCCACAGAGCTTTGTGTTTCTGTCTGTTGACACTGACACATTAACAGCATCCACCCACCCAAACAAACCCAAACGCATTCAGTCTACTGCAGACCTGGGTTCAAACACTATTTGAAATCTCTCAAATACTTTCAGCATTTGTTTGAAGCCTGCCTGGAGTGTCAGATGGGCGGGAATTATTTTCTTGGACTATTCTATTGGTCCATTGAGCCAGGCAAGCTCAATCAAGCCCAGCTTTGAAATGATTTCAAATAGCATTTGAACCCAGGTCTTGTATCCAGTACATTGCATCTCCTCTCCTCTATGGAAACAAATGACAGTGCAGACGCAGAAAACACACAATGCAGGAGAGAGGCGAGACACTAACTATGAGGAATTACACCAGCAGAGTCATCACACTAACTTCTGTCCTCTTCCTGCTGTGTTATCATAGAGGCTGGATGGGGATTGAGTGCGACAAATGTATCTCACTTAAGGTGGTTAGTGTGGTTAGTGCATGCCGTGTGTTCTACTGTAGCAGGTGATCAAGTTATATGGTCAGATTTCTTGACAAAGGCTCGGAGATGTGACTCAACATTTGACTATTTACTTGAGTGCATCGTGCCCAAGTGCACCGTGTGTCCAGCTACCGTCTTATCAGGTATTTGAACTAGCCTACACACCGCACAACGTGCATTTTATCCCTGAGCAAATATCACCAGTTATTAATATTTTGTCATATGTGTGAAATATTGTGGAAATAGTTCATATTCATAATGTTGCAGAAAAATAAGTTACTTTGAACGAATTCACTCTGCAGGTGTGCTTTCCCCTAGTTTCCATGGGAACTTTCTTTCCGTCAGTGGAGGTGATACTACAGTAACGTTAAACGGTGCTGCTTGTCGAAGCCCTCAGGTTTTCTAAATGTTAATATATTTCTGTTTGACATTTTCAGCTTGAACCAGAGACCCAGTCCCACTGGAGGAGTAAAGTGAGGGAGAGAGGGTGGAGGGGAGAGAGAGAAAAGGGGAGGGATGGAGGGGGGAGAGAGAGGGGGGGGGGAGAGGGGGGGGGGAGGGGTGAGAGGAGGGATGGGGGAGAGGGATGGGGGAGGGGAGGGGAGGGGGAAGAGATGGGGGAGAGGGATGAAAAAGAGGGGGGAGGGGAGGGAGGGGGATGAAGGAGAGGGGTGGAGGGGGAGAGAGGAGGGAAAAGGATGGGGGATGAAGGGAGAGGGGTGAAGGAGAGGGGAAGGGGGAAGGGAGGAGGGGGGGAGGGTGGAGGGAGAGGGGTTAGAGAGGGGATGGGGGGAGAGGGGTAGAGGGAGAGGGGTGAAGGGAGAGGGTGAAGGGGAGGGGGAGGGAGAGAGATGGGGGAGAGGGATGAAGGGAGAGGAATGAAGGGAGGGGGTGGGGGAGAGGGACGAAGGGAGGGGAAGAAGGGGAGGGATGAAGAGGGGGATGGGGGGGGAGAGGGGGGAGGGGGGGAGAGGGATGAAGAAGAGAGGGGGGGGAGAGGGAGGGGGAGGGGATGAAGGGGGAGGGAGGAGGGGGGGGATGAAGGGAGGGGGGGTGGAGGGAGAGGGAGAAGGGAGAGGGGGGAGGGGGGGGAGGGATTTAAGAGAGGGGTGGAGGGGGGAGAGAGGAGGGGAGGGATGAAGGGAGAGGAGAAGGGAGAGGGGGAGGGAGAGGGAAGAAGGAGAGGGAAGAAGGAGAGGGACGGAGGGAGAGGGGAGGAGGGAGAGGGAGAAGGGGGGAGGACGGCGGGAGAGGGATGGAGGGGGGGATGGAGGGAGAGGGAGAAGAGAGAGGGATGGGGGAGAGGGAGGGGGAGAGGGATGGGGGAGAGGAGGAGGGGGGGGAGGGATGAAGAGAGAGGGATGGAGGGAGAGGGGGGAGGGATGAAGGGGGAGGGATGGGGGAGAGAGAGGGAGGGAGAGGGATGGAGGGATGAAGGGGGGGGATGGAGGGAGAGAGATGAAGAGAGAGGGATGGAGGGGGGAGAGATGGGGGGAGGGGATGGAGGGAGAGGGATGAAGAGAGAGGGGTTTGGAGGGAGGGGGATGGAGGGAGAGGGATGGAGGGAGAGAGATGGAGGGAGAGGGATGAAGAGAGAGGGATGGAGGGAGAGGGATGGAGGGATGAAGGGAGAGGGATGGAGGGAGAGAGATGGGGGGAGAGGGATGGGGGGATGAAGGGAGAGGGTGAAGGGAGAGGGGATGAAGAGAGAGGGAGGGAGGGGAGGGATGGAGGGAGAGGGATGAGGGGAGAGGGAGGAGGGGGGGATGGAGGGGAGGGATGAAGGGGAGAGGGAGGAAGGAGGGGAGGGAGGGAGAGAGATGGAGGGGAGGAGAAGGAGAGGGAATAAAGGGAGAGGGGTGGGGAGGGAGAGGGACGAAGGGAGGGGGAAAGAAGGGAGGGGGATGAAAGAGAGGGGAGGAGGGAGAGGGATGGAGGGAGAGGGTAAAGGAGAAAAGAGAGGAGGGGAGGGAGGGGAGGGAGAGTGGGGGGGAGAGGGGAGGGATGGAGGTGGGGAGAGGGATGAGGGAGAGGGGTGGGGGAGGGAGAGGGATGAAGAGAGGATGAGGAGAGGAGAGGGGGATGAGGGGGAAGGAGAGGGACGAGAGAGGGAATAGGAGAGGACGGAGGAGAGGAGGAGGGAGAGGACGAAGGAGAGGGGCGGCGAGGGATGAGGGAGAGAGATGAGGGAGGAAAAGAGGGGGATAGTGTAACCAGACAACCTGCTGTAGGGCTGCAGGGGGAGAGAAGGCAATAGCCGTGCCTCAGCCAGAGGAAACTAGGCCATGGTCCCAGAGTTAGAGAAGGAGAGTGAGTGGGTGTTCTGAATGGTCTGGTGTGTGTCTGAGTGTGTTGTCTGAATGAGGTGCCAGCATGTCGTGTGTGGTGCGTAAAACATGTCTGCATGCATGTGTGTGTGTGTGAGTGTGCATGTGTACATGTTTGTGTGAAATTGTGCCAAAGCCCACTGCCATGTGTCCACCTGTGCACCCACACCCTGCCAGTCCTGTGCCCAGTGTAAGAGCTCTATGGGTGACAACGGGAGACTGGTGGACAAAGCTTCAATCAGGCCCCTTCATTTCTGTTGGCTCTACCTTTTCCCTCTCCCTTTGTCAACCACATGCTAATGCATCATCCACATCTCTCTCTCTTTCTCTCTCTTTCTCTTTTCTTTTGCTCCCTCATTCTCTCCCACATCCATCCAAAGCAGTGACAAATCAGCCGAGTGTTGTCTCTGTGCTTCGCTGAGTGCTAGGGGAAGTTATGATAATGAGGATGTTGTAACCCACCTGTTATTTTAGCTGTCTCCATGCCGAAAGCTACTGGATCAGACTCCAGATGTATCAAAGTTTAACACTGGTCTTTTATGCTGATTTTGTGATGTGAAGTTTTTGGGGGTATTTTAAGATTTGTTTAAGTGCGTGTTCTCTAGGGTTGTGAAGTTTTTGTGTGTGTGTGTGTGTGTGTGTGCACGGTGTCTGTCTAAGTGCTAGCGTGTGTGTACACATGTTTTCATACGGGTGCTGGGTAATTCTAGGGGCTTTAGCTGCAAATGGAGTGACTCACGTCCTTGCTGATTGATATAGAGAAGAAAAATCCCCAGTGGAATTCAAACTGATGGTTCTCATTAAGGTAACTGACAACAGGGCTTTACCAAGGCCACACATTCATTACCAAACAAACACATTCTAAACCCCCTTTCATTCTAAATCCTCATACCTACCTTATACCATCCATGACTTATAGCTAAAGCCCCCACACACACACACGCACACATACGCATAGAAACACACACACACACACACACACACACACACTTACAGCTAAAGCACAACCACACACACACAAACAAATCCCACACACACACAAACCACGACTCTTACTGAGTCACGTAGCAAGAACAAAGGCTAGTCGGAAATCAAATAAACAGTTCTAGATGAGTTTTTAAAGCAATTTGATGGATGGATGGTTGGCATTGTCATGTGGAGATGAAGTATGCAGCAAGTCTTTGGGAGGGGTTCTTGTTGTTGATTTGTTTTAGGCTGCTTTTTTCCAATCCTATGCGGGGGAGGACAGGGGATCCTAAGTTGAGAAGTGTAGTGTCATAACTCAAACATTCACGGAGACCTTGCATTGTCAATGAGATATTGCAGAATACGTTGGTGTGGTTTTATGACAGTGGGAAGACGAGGCCTAATCGGTGTTGTTGACGGCAGCAGAAGTTAACCCCTCTGCTATCTTTTTGGGATTGCAGGCAGACATGCGCTCCAGAGAGTACCTCCGTGTCCACCCCCCATCTGCTGCAGACACCTGAGCATAGAGGAGACGGGTAGGTGTTTCAGCAGACAGACACATACACAGAGGTATTAAAAAATGTCTAACCACTCGTTGCAGGTATTTGCCGTGGCTAAAAAATACTAACACTTTTGCTGTCCCCAATGCTGTGGAGGGAGATAAAACACAATCACATTTCAAACAGATATTGCTGGTTTTGATGTGACTCCCTTTCTCTCTCGCTCTCTCTCTCTCTCTCTCTGTCTTTCTCTGTCTCTCTCTCTGTTTCTCTCTCTCTCTCTCTCTCTCTCTCTCTGTCTTCTGTCCTTCTGTCTCCCTCTTTCTCTCTGTACTCTTTGGATCTGTGCCAGGCTGCCAGCACAGTGCTGAGCCCTTAATGTCCTTACAGGGGTATACCAGATTCTGGTGTTATCCCAGGACAGCCTCTCTGCAGGGGGGAGGGGGTGTGTGAGATGAGCCAGTGGGAGCACCTGGGGTTGAGCTCGGATGGAGGAAGGAAGGAGGGAGGGAAGAAAAGGGGGTGTGAGGCAGTGGCGGTTTGTGCCGTTCAAGATTAGGGAGAAGATATAGGTGCACAGGTTCGAGAGACAAATTGGAGTAATCAATGTGTCAGACAGTGAAGCGTTCAATACCACCTTGCACACTCTTACCTGCGACTACCTGATCTGGGGTGTAATCGTTAGTCCAAACAGTTTACAACTAAAACGAGAGTTTCTATTGGACAAATGTAGGTAGGTCCCTCCCCATTTCGTTCAGTTTGCGTTCGTTTAAGAAACGTTTTGCAACAGAATCGGCGTAATGAATACACCCTGATCACCCGCACACACAGCTCACTTTCATAGCAGCCACATACAGCATCATCACTTTGCTCTACACACTCCTCCTCTTACCTTTTCCCTTCGCTTGTGGACTTCAACAACAGCCTTTAGCAGTTTAGCAGTTACACCGGCGGTCACCGGTGGTAATAAATAATCATAACCGAAAGCTTACCTTGACTTGGATGAGTTGCAGTGTTGGATAGCCTTCAAAATACTTTTAAATAGCAGTCCTCTCTGTTTGAGTCAGGTTGTTGAGAAGGCTAAATTAGCTCCATTAGCTAACTAAGTGAAAGGTAAACTAAGAAGAAAGAAAATACTACAAAATATAGCTAGCTCTCTCTCTCTCTGCCTTTTTCTCCTTAATTTTTGTTCAAAACTGTAACTATTGTCTTTCTCTCTCTTTGAGTCAACTACTCACCACATTTTATGCACTGCAGTGCTAGCTAGCTGTAGCTTATTCTTTCAATACTATATTCATTCTCTGATCCTTTGATTGGATGCAGAAGATATTAGTTCATACTGCAAGAGCTCTGATAGGTTAGAGAACATCCTCCGGAAGTCGTCATAATTAATGTGTAAGTCTATGGAATGGGTTGAGAACCATGAGCCTCCTAGGTTTTGTATTGAAGTCAATGTACCCAGAGGAGGACAGAAGCTAGCTGTCCTCCAGCGACACCATGGTGCTACCCTACAGAGTGCTGCTGTGGCTACTGTAGACCTTCATTGCACAACAGCACATCAGTTATTTGGTGACGTAAATATATTTAGTATAGGTTTATCTAAAAAGGATAACTTTTTTTTAAATGTTGCACTATTTTTATTTTTTATGAAATTCACTGAGTAGGATGATCCTCCCCTTCCTCCTCTGAGCAGCCTTCACTGGTGGGAGGTGCGAGCACCAGGGGTTGATCTCAGATGGAGTGATGGAGGGAGAGTGGGGAGAAAGAAGGATGGAAGGCTAAGGCAGCCTTAGATCCAGAGATCATCCTCCCAAACAACAGTCAGTGCCCCATCATCCTCTCCTTTTAGTGAATCATCAAAGCTCCAGTGCTTCAAGAGTCGTATGAGGATGCAAAGGATGTTCACATACCCGTTGACATTTACAGTACCGTACACACATAGATGCGCGCGCACACACACATACAGATACACACAGAGACGTGTACACCTAGAGGACACTTGCACACTCTTTCTTAGTCACACGCATACATACATACATACACACACACACGCACACACAGATGCATGCATCCACTGGACACACACACCGTATCACCCATTTGAAATGCAGCCCGTGTTCTGGCATTCCAAAGTTATCCCCCTTTGAACTCCCCCATGACAGAAGCGATGCTCTCTCTCACCCCTCTTCCTCTTTTGATCATCCTCTCAACAAAGGGAAAAGAGACAGGAAGGTTTTTGCCGAGTGAGCGAGGCTGCCCCTCTCTGAATCTCCAGGCTTTCACTCAACTTTATCTAACAAGCTCCCCTCCCTTAACTCCCTTCCCCTTTAAAACCTCCCCTCACTCCCTTCCCCTTAAAACAACTCTGTGGATCAGCTATGCAAGGCAGATATTTTCCATACTCTGTACCACTGTAATGGAACTTTCCCCAGCCCAGAAATAGAGCACGGAACATCTGGTTCTGGCACTGTTCTAATGAGGGGCTGGAGTGTGCTCAACCCCTCTAACTGTACAGTATGCTACTGTCTCCGACATGGCGAGAAAATGGGGAGGATTTGGTGCGTCATGGGTCAGTAGTGGTTTCTAGTAGTGGCAATATGGTTAGGGTTTCTGTCTTCCTGTTACATCATTCATCAGTGCGTGCATGTGGAGGCCTCTGTCTTGTTAAGTTTATCCCATGCCATTTCTCTGCAAACAGGGGTGGTGGGTAATCTTACTCTGCAAGGGCCAGTATAAGCACAGACTTTTACATACTTGTTACGATTGCCTAACCCTGCACTGTAGCCTTGTTATAGAGTTTAGTCAGATAATAATTGTGCTCTCCCTCCCATACCAATTCTAACTTAGAGGTTCTCTATTTATCTCAATAGGATCTCCAGGTTTAGATAAAATATCATTCAAGAAAAAAGAAAATGGATACTTCTAAGATTGCACCCCACTGCTCTACAGGTTTCTTGTAGTGGTTAGGCAGAGAATCATTATGCTCCCTTCCCATAACCAGTCTCCCTTGAAGTCCACAGTCTCTATCTCAATGGAATCTCATTAAAGAAAATGGATACCTCAAGTGCTCCTCTGTTAGATACCCAGAGCCTATCATCCCCTGGACCACTGGGTAGAACTGGAGTATCCATTCCTCTTGTTAGCCTCTGGACTGTGAGCCCCCTGTTGTCTCTCACAGCCCCCTCATAGCCCCCTGCAGGGCAAAGGGAATGAGCACCTCTCTACCTCTCTCACTGACTCATGCTGGAGGGAGAGAAAGCTTGGCAGGAAAGCAATAGGATTCTGACAGAGAGAGAGGAGAGGGAGAGGGAGAGATGGAGCAGCAGGAGAGGAGATGAAGGGATCTGAGGGGAGGAGAGGAACGACAGGAGCGGAGAAGGGATGAGGAGGCAAGGGAGAGATAGAGTAGAGGAATCAATGCAGATGGGAGAGGAAGAGCGCTCTTGTAGTGGTTTGAGGAAGGTGTGTGTGTGTGTGCATTCGTTCCTGAGTTTAGCTTCTTCATCTACTTAAACTTTTACAACCAACGACCCTGAGTATTTTCTGATCATGTGACCATCCCAGGTGAAAAATCAAAAAACCATTATCTCCTGTATTTATCCTAATTTATCACCACGGTAACATTGCCGATAGTCCCTCATAGACCTGTACAGCACTTCCCTCCCAGGGCTGATGGATGCTGCCCAATGCTGTGATTTCTTAACCAATAATTTCCCTCTATCCTCCTCCATTACCCCACCCACCCCTCAGTCCTAACCAATAACTGGGGAAGTCAGGTTAAACTAAATTAAATGAATAGGATTGGAAGTTTTCAATTAGGTTCATGCTGATATACACACTGATGCCCTTTCCCACTGATCTCCAAACTGTCAGGGAAATGTTGTGGAGGTGACTAGACCAGGGTTATACAGACTGGCTCGGCAGGGAGGAGGACTAATTAAAAAGAAAACTTATTGGTGAAAGTAGGGATTCCTTTGGATTATTTAAAGGCCTGTGCAGTGAAAACGTGATTTTCCTGTGTTTTTATATTTCCACACTGTGAGGTTGGAATAATACTGTGACATTGTAAAAATTATGATAATGCACTTTTAGTGTAAGAGTTGTTTGAAAAGACCACCAGAAATTTCAACCTGTTTTGGTGGGATGGGGTTTTGGCCTGCCATGGTGACATCACCAGGTGGTAAATTAGTTAATAGACCAATAAGAAAGGGAGTTCCAAATCTCTCTGCCAATAACAGTTGGTTTTCAGTTTCCCCCTCCCCACTCAGACCACTCCCAGACAGTCCTAGCAATATTTTTGAGAAATTGCTCTTTGGTAAGAAGCTATTTTTGTTTCTTTTTAACCATTATAATTGAAAACAATAAGTTATTTAACTGTTACCCAGAACATTTTTGATATTGAGATAAAAACTGCTGCATTGGACCTTTAATGATTAAACACTGGCATGATGGTATATACAGTAGGCTGACTTTGAATGTCCCCAGGGATTCAGATGCACAAATAAAATAAGGTTCAGTGACAACACACCTTTTAATTAGACAAGAAAAGTGTGTGTGTGTGTGTGTGTGTGTGTGTGTGTTAATGTATGTGCGTGTGTGTGTTTATGTGTGTGCAAGTGTAGCAGACATGAGTCATGGTTGCTCGTGGTCACGTGATGGGTAGCCCCACCTTCGACTTCAAAATCAGTGTCATCCCTCAGGCCAAAAGGAGATTTAGTCTTGGTGTAAAGGTCAAGACATTTCTCCCGTGGGAGAACAGGGTTCAAATCCTGACAGTTACACGAGCGCTATCGTGCTTGTCTGATAAGGGCAAAAGGTGAGTGTTCCTTTTGATGTTGAAATTGAAGCTGAAGACATGAAGCTGAAGACGGTTTGATCTCAGAATAGGAACACCCTGAAGGATATTCTCATCCTCTCTCATTTCCTCTCTCTCTCATCCTTCCTTCGTTTCTCTGTGTCACTTTATCTTACCTGCTGTCCTCTCTTAAATTCTCTGTTTTCTCCTCTTTCATTCTCTCGCCTTTAACTCTCCTCTAATTTATCTTCCTTTCTCTCTTCTCATTCTCT